AACAAAACAACAAACAGATCATAAAAGATAATTTTGAAGGAATAATTAATATATAATCTATGTATGTCTAAATTAGTAATGAAAATTAGGAGAAAGTCTAGACTATAAATGAAGAATAGATAAAAAAAAAGAGGCAATAATAAGAACATGAGTCGTACCTCGGATGTGTGATCTGGTAGTTGGTTCTTCCTATGATCTGCTTTGTTATAAGTGAAATCCAATAAATTATTACTACTGAAGCTAGCAACACTAGACCTAGGGGAAGAAGAAACCGGCACCATGTGTGACCAAGGTGCTCCAGAAACCTGAAAATCCTGATCATGTCCCTGGTGATAGAAGTTACCACTTTGGGAAACCTCTTGCTTTATTACATCAACCATAGGACTTATGGGGGATGGATTCAGCATATGTTCGTTCCATTCATCCAACTTTTTTGATTGAAAATGACTGAATGCCACCCTCTCTTCCTCTCCTGGTAAGCCAGTGCTGCAAAATAGGCATAACCGAGATTTTGATTTACACAAACAATACAAAAAGAAGAAGCAAAGCCTTGGTGATTAAGGTAAAGGGACTATAAGTAGTGGAAAGTATGCAAACTGGTATTAAACAGTTTTTGAAACACTTGAAAAGAAAAGTGGAAGATGTGTATTAATGAAGAAGGCATGCAAAAGAAGAGAGAAAAAGAAAAAACAAAAGGGTGCTTACAAAAGAAGTTGGCTCAATGACTGAGGGGGCTCTGAGTTTTGTGTGGACGAATTAAAAGGAATTGAAGAAGATCCAAGCACATACTGGGGAGGGGTCAAAGATGGTGGATGCGTAGTCCACCAGTTAGGGTTCCCAGCCATCATTTGCTGAAGAACAGAAAAATGTTGAGTGGGATTAATACTGAATTGTTGGGTTGCAAATGAAGATGTAAGAAATGAAATATTTAATCTCCTTTCCCATATACTTTTGCTCTTTCACCTTTGTGATATTTCCTTGTATGTGCAACCAAACAAGGCTTTGGCTAAAGCTTAGAGTGTTGTGTCTTGCTTTCTTACTAGCTGTTGAAGAAACTTAAAGTTATGGGGTCTCAGTATTTTATAGAGTTGGGGTTGAGAAACTTTGCATATGTTGCTTTTTCTTTCCTTTCTTTCATTTATTCAGTATTCCTTTTTATTATAAAGTGGAATGCAAAAGCTGATGGGCATTGTTTTAAGGCTATAAATTAATGCTTTCTCAGACTCATTTCCTTAATTTGGGGTTTCACCTTGGGATTGTTTTTGTGCTAGCTAGGGTTGGGGTAGAGGTAGGGCATAATAGTGAGATCAATGTCAGATGCTTTATTTATTCCCTAGACCAATAATTCACTTTAACAAACAAAACCACACAATCTAAGAACCTCATTAAAATAACACACCAAACCACATATAAGATCTTATGAAGAGCTGTGAGTTTATATTTTCTCCCAGCATAATTTTCCATACAACATATATGAAGTGACATTAATCATGCATGCACCATTTGGTTAAGAAATTACACCTGAATTATTATCACATGTACTAAACAAACAAAGCTAAACTAAGACATAATTATCTTTACTAAAAACTTGGTATGACTTGAATCTTTGTTTAAATATCTACTTTATGAATAAAGTTATGTGTTGATGATATTATTTATTATAAATTTTAGTTGTACAAAATAAATATTTATCATGTGTATATTGCATAGACTAAAAATGTAACAAAATATATCATTTAAATAATTCATGTTACAGAAAAATAAAGCATAGTAAAGATATCATCATTGATAAGAAATCTTTTATCCTACCATATACAAAGGAATTAAGAGATAAAAATATTAAATTAAAGAGTTATTTATAGTGCATATTGCATATGCTACAGTACTAGTTTAAGTAAAGTTTAAAAATACTGAATATATATATATATATATATATATATATATATATATATATATAACACTAAAAAAATAATTGGTAGAATCATTTATGATTGTATCTTATTTGATCCATAGTTTTATACATATAAAATTTAAGTGAACTGAATTACTTACTCAATTTCGTCCTTGAAGTTTATTTTTCTCAATCAAGAGGTTTTCAAAGTAACAAACAAATGACTTACTTATGTACTAAGAAAAATAATACTAAATAATTCTTAATTAAAAAATTCTTCAAAATTTTTGCTGAATTGTGTCAACTTAAAGACTAGAAATGGATGTTCAATATTGTAACCATTATATAAACAGTTTTTATTATAAGAGAAGGGATAATACTTCAAGATTACATAAATGGGTGGTTTATTCTATTAAATTTCATTAATTCAACCATGGAATATTTTGATAAGTTTAATGATCTTGTGCAGGTAAATTTTAAATACGTATACTCTCAAATAAAGATATAATAATATGTGTTCAAACTACATGAATTTTATCTCCAGATTGTGCCGACATGGTTAACTTCATGCTGAGCATGCGCAAGCTAGCTAGGTCTAATTTGCAATCCTTCTGCTTTTTCTCGGAAAGATTTTGTGAAAATCGATTTTTTTAGAATATGTTAAACACCAATCCATTTTGAATAGATCTATGTTCCTGGTTCAATTGTTGTATGATAAAAGTAGAGAAAAATTCAAAAAGAAACTCGTCATTGATCAATGTTAGGTACCAAAGTGGTGCTACATCATGATGTACGGATGATTCATGAAGGAATGATTGAGGGTCATGTTATGTTATGTTGTTTGTGTCTTTCTCATTCATGAGAGAGAGACAGTGATATAAGAAAACTGCTTAGACAATATTCAGTGTTCATGGAAAATATTGTATGTGGTATTAACAAAATACCCTTCAATGTATACTTTTTGTGATGATAGTTTTGTGTTCTGAGAGTTCAAAGGGATTAAGGACAAAATTCTCCTTAGTATTTGGATTTATTTGGTGATTTATTCGAATTGAAGTTTCTTATATGATGTGAGGTTAATAATTTGACACTAAACTAAGTTGTTTATGCATGTGGCAGTTTTGGTATAATTTGAGACAAGCACCACTCAGCAAGTACAGACCAAAAAATCAGAGTGCGCAATGATCCAAACAAAAATGGAAAAAGAATGTGTGAGAGATGCAACATAAACAAAATTACATTTACCAAACGCCAAACAACAAGTTTTAGATCGATACCACCACATGGTCTTGTACGTATATACGTGCTTTTTGGTTCTATGCTATGTAAGATATATTTTTTTATCTTCTTATTTTCTTTACTTGTGAGAATTTAAACAAGACAGAAGAATCTATCACGTTATTAGTGGTGTAAGTCTCGTGGTATACGGAAGTTGGTCTTTTGTGCATGTTTTGTAAGAACATATTTTTGCGCAGATTAAGAATCAGTGAAAAGGAAAGATGATAACCTCATACATGCTAAAAGGAAGAGAAAAAAGGAAAGTTGGGTTCATCACAATATTTTTAAGTATTGAACAAAAGGTTGTGAATTCAACATACCACATGTCAAATGTATGAATGATGATTAGAAGAAGGGGATAAGAATTGGATCAGATGGATTCCTTTTGACCATTGGTCTTCCACTCAAGAATATTCAATAATAACCAGAAAGTTTATGCCTCTCCAACGGACCAGAAGCTAAGTGATATCTATCAACCCCTTTTTAATCAATTGTGAACTTTTGCTTAATCATGCTCGGAAACAACAAAAATGATAAAGAAAAAGAGGAAAAAGGGCTAAGACTGAATTTGACACCTTGTTGATTTTGTTTCTTGTTTTCTCTTTTTGTGTTGTTGATATCTTGTGTCACAGTTAAATTTTAAGCTTAATACTGCTCATTATGACCGCAAATTTTGAAGTCAAAAGCACCATGGTTTTGCCAATGGGTGGTTTCTCTGTCAAGAAATATCCTAGTCAAATGATTCTACTCTAGCCACAACCTTTATTCAAAAAGAAAATCCAAATTAATTGAACTTTTAACCCTTTTTTTTTTCTCATTGAAAGATTCATAATAGACAGTGTAAGAGTGAGAGAAAAAGGAAGAGACATGAGCAAGATGATGCATTGTAAGGTATTAAAGCAGTGTAGTCTAATTCATATCCCACAATTCAATTATTTGAGGTGACTTAAAAAACAAGCTTTAAACATTCTTACGTGTGCATCGTAGACCAAAGATCATTTTCACATACTTTCACCATGTAATTATTTTCTTCTCATCCCATTTAATGTTATATTCACATTAAAAAAGAAAAAAAAAATCCAAAGATTCTGTTATATAAATCTATCCAGTTATGTTAATAACTAAGATACATTAATAGTTAAGTTTGATCACAGATTGAGTAATAGTTAAGATTGATAAATGCATGAGCAAACTACAATTTTGATCAACCAAACGTTATTTGTGAAGTTATATGATTAAACTGTGACATTATGAACCCCATGGAAATTTTACTTATCACTCCCAATACAAAAACCGATCTCTAAGTTACGTCAGTAAAGACACCAGTTAGAAGGTAAAAATTTAATAAAATAAACTCAATCCAAAATAAAATCAAATAATATACCAACTATAATTTCATCAGTTGATTGAAATCAATTTAATTCCAAGTACACACGGTAAAAGACATCCTGGCCCTTTTAATAGCTTGGCTTTTAAGCTGGCAACAGTGGTAACCTTTTATATATATATCTATTCACAACACACAGAACTACTAGTATGCAGTTTAACTTAATAGAACGGAAAGAAAAGTATGAGACGTAACTGAATGATACATTGCTGCTACAAGGGAAAGAATGCTTCCCACTCAACCGAGTAAAGTGATGCTATGAAGAAATTTGATTTGTTTTCCCAATTAAATGAGAATGCTAATACAAGGGAGAAACCAACTAAATAGAAATAAGGGGAAAGAATACCACCACAATTTCAGGTAGTATTTTTATATGCTAATTGTGTAAGTAGATCAAATGCTCCCTAACTCTAAGAGTGTTTCCTGTTTCTTAATAACAACCAATCATTCTGTGGGGGCACCACCGTGCCGTTGCATAGCAACAACTGGCTCACTGCACCTGGAACACCTAAATGATGGAGCAGCAGAACATCGTGTCCTAAGACAGTAGTAACAATATCTGCCACACATAAATTGTGAAACATTGTTTAGTCTTCTCTTTTAATGAGAAGCATATATACATAAATGTTGGGATCTATGAACATTCCACAACTATAATCCCTCCAAATTGTTATAGCAGAAGTTAGTATTGGCAAAATAATAATTTGAGATGAGAGTGCATGTCTGGAGTGACGTACCTGTGCTGACAAGGTAGAGCAACAAAAGGAATGGTTGGAGTAGCCAGGCAGATGGGACACGCTGTGCCATCCTCGGCTGAACTTGATGATTTATCTTTTGAGAAAGGTCGAAGTAGATTTTTCACAGATGATGAATTAAGAAGAGGAAGAAGCAACAGTAACATTTCCTGCCATCAGAACCTGAGATAATTAGCTCCAATGGATTGCAAATTGGGATGTGAAACATTCTTGCAAATTCACTTGTCTTGTCATCAAAACCAGAGGGACACATCCAGTTGCAGCATGGCGACACCATTTTTAGTAATTAGAATAAGGCCACATTTGAGGTAACAACTTGATTAAGTACTTATTTAATACATTATTATCAAATGAGTGCTTATTCATATGTTTGACCGTGACACTTGTTGAAATACATAAAAGGAACTTATTTTGATAAGTTTATCTATGAACTAATGAACCTCATTGAAATAAGCAAAATAGAGCTTCTAGGAAGGTCATAAGCTACTTTGACAAGCCCAAATAAGCTCTTATAAATGTTCCCTGATTTTATGATGAGTGTTTCAACCTAGGACTAATAAATTTAATCAATAAATCATCACACAGGTGACAGCACAAACAGACAGAAACACAAATTCATTGAAAAATGACACATTTCCCAGCTTTCTAGGAAGAAAATAGAAAATAATGCACACAAGAATATCCAACATATGTAAGATACCATAAAGCAAAAAAGGTATAGGTCATAAGAAATTTCAAAAAGGAAAAGTACTATACCCTATTGATCTAGTAAGTTGAATTCTGATAGAGAATTCATACCAATTAGTACATACTTTTGCATTACTATAAGGAGAAAAAAGAAATGCGAGAGCATACTCATCAAAGCTCCCAACATTAGAGAACAATCTCCAGCCAAACTATTCTGTTTCCAACCTACATACCCTTCTCTCCCCCTTTCTTATGTGAGCTAGGTCCTCTCCATTCTTAATAACTTCTTGCCTAAGTGAATATCAGGCGTAACTATTCTTGAGCCTTCAATAGTAAGCCTGAAGTGGTTTCAGGGCCCTATATGTATGGGTTATGGGGTCCAATCACATTCATTAAACTATGCCAATTTTCATAATTATTAGTCTCAACTAGTAAATAAATGAAAGATCTCATGTAACCCACATGATTCCACAAATTAAGTACAAAAAAATTTAAAAAGAGGGGAAGAATTACCGAGAATTCATTCCAAACTAATTGCCTGTTCATATATTCAAAACTAACAGCTCGATTCATATTTGGGCTTCCATATACAAGCCTAGCTCGTAAGCCTCTTTCAATAAGATTTCTGTATCTGCTTCACAAAAGCACACAACTAAAAGATAAGTTTTACATAGCATGTCAAACTAAAAACACCAATTATATGCTAGTAATATATAGATAGATAGATATCCTAGAGGACCCAAAGAACTATCACATAAGATGAACACTCATTGTTACATTATTTTCAACAATTTTATTTAAAAATTATTCTAAAACTCACCATTGGGTAAAACATTCCTATCATATAAATATTAATTGCAAAAATTTAGATTAATCCAAAATTATTTGATATCTCACTAGTGTACATCAGAATTACATAACATATACTTTGGAAATATGTGAAAATGAGAATCACTGATTATTTTATTAATGTTTAGTTTTTATCAAATTTAGCACAAACAATCTAGATAACATATAGTTAAACAGTTGGATAGATAAATTATATTCTACAGAAAGATAATGGTAAGAATTGGTGTAACTTGGTATATGTTGATCTGCCCCTATATGTGTATCAAATGAGAACAATTATTATAGTTAGACATGAGAACTACAAATCTAGACCATAAAACCTTACACGGATGATTAAACTAAGTAGTGACATGACCAATTAAAAAAGTAATGGGCATTTTTTTTAATACTCAAATAAAATGTAATGTTTATAATTTGTCGAAGTTAATCCGTGATCTTGACATATGAGCATCTAAAAAATTCATGTACATGGTTTTATAATTTTGACCGTTCAAATGTGATCTAATGATTTATATTTACTGTTCTCATTTCTCACAATAAGAAAAATGTCCACTTCATATGTTGCCTATATATATGTCAGAAGACAAAAACAGAAGAAACAAAACAAGTGTTGTGTGAACCGTTTGGTTGTTAAAGGAATCACCTTCCTGTGCAAAGAAATATCAACAGGTTTCCAAATGAAGCAGCTCTATAAACTCCTTCTAATCGTTGTATTAAGATCCATAGGCGTCGTGCCAATGGTCTCTGTATAAAAAAAATGTTGCATGTCAAACTAGAGCTCAATTCAATTCAATCCACTTTGGTCTATAGACTTGAAAGTAGGCAGTGCAGGTCTTACAGAAAATACCTGCTCAGTATCACCCCATCTACGAAACGCAGAGAAGGATTGCAAGCGAGCCCATATATACTGGCCACCAACAGTTGCAACACAATACCAAATCTTCTGTGCAACAGTGAGTCCAGGTCCCTCCAGACCAGTTCTAACTGTGTGGAAAGTACCACATAAGAATGAGAATTAGCAGCTAAGAAGAACGATGAACATAGGACAAGATTGAGTAATACTCAGATCAAGGTATACAAGAACTGGTAACAGATCACCAGAAAAATTGTACACGTTGGTGATGGGTTGTATAATACCTCACAAAATAGTATAATACTACAAGTTAACACCTTCAGTAGTATGCTATTTGACCATGATCCAGATACAAAAGATCATAGATAAAAATTGTAGAACAAAGACTTGAAAAAAAAAAAAAAAATCAACAGGAGTGCGCTAAATTTTCTTGTTCAAAGGCTAAATTTTCCACAAAGGTCACTCCGTGTGTTTAAATCTTAGAACTTACCAATAATCGATCAGAATTCAGAAGCGTCTCACAACATAGTAGACCTGCGTATCTAAATAGCAATACAATACACTACAGACAGGTGGAATTCAGACCTTCATACCTTTATCTCTTGGTTCTACGGCACGCTCATCTCTGTACCTCAGGTTCATGAGAGCAATGCCTGGGGTTGGCTTATCTACCCAAATTGAGAACCGCCAAATAAGAAATTCAAGGAAAGCATCAAGCTCCGCTTCATACTGAAATAACATTCCTGGCTAATCCCAAAAGGCATAAAAGAAATTTGAAAAATATTCAAGCAAGTTTCCAAATTGATAACAAAATTAGCACAGACAATAGTTTACTACCGTAACTCATACATAACTGTACCTTCATTAATGAGAAAACTTTAACCAACTGCTCTTTCAACATGGCTGACATTTCAACGTCCAATCGCGCTGCATCGACTTGGTTGACTCTTGATATCGAAATTGGGATTGTTGATTGCTGAAAACCCCACACGGATAATAACTTCAACAACAGTGTTGTTGCAAAAAGAAAGTACACAGAAAAGGAAACATACTATGCAACTTGATCAAATACTCATTATTCAACTTGATAATAAAAACATATATTAATCACAATAAACAATTAATCTCCATGACGTTTGCAGAAATTCACCAGCCTCTAGCTTCAACCAGAAAAACCCCACCCCATAAAAGGAAAAAAAGAAGATATATATATATATATATATATATATATATATATATATATATATATATAATTTGTATCAAGCACAATCTTTTGACGGAAAAAAAAAGACCCAGTAAGCAATAATGAATGAACATGGGAATACGACTATGTAGATGATTAAGAGAAAATGGGTAAACCCTAAATGAGAAAAAGCGGTAAAGTACGGGGTTTGAAGACTGAATTGTATGAAGTGAATAGAGAAAAGGACCTGATTAGAGAGGGAAATGGATTTCCATGTGGGGAGAAGGGTGTGGGAAGTGTGAATCCAAGCATCGTGAGAAGGGAGAGTCATTTCGCGATGATGATGAAATTTTGGTTGCGTTTTGTGTGTCCATGCACCGGTTCTTTCTCTCTCTAATATATGAGTGCGATGCTCAGCTTAGAGAGAGAAAGAGAGATGAGAAGAGTCTGGTCATTGCTGCAGAAAGCTCAATTCTTGTTGCATTACACTCTCCACCGTCTCACCCAATCTAACCTTCGTTTCACCCAACCAAACGGGGTTTCTTTCGTCTTTTCTCACTTTTCCGACATATTTCCCAAATGAGAAACTTGATCATGTTTTATGCTTGCTTATTTCTTTTTTATTAGTTTTATTCAGACTGATTTTTTTAATAAAATATTAAAATACAATCCAATCTTTAATTTTCAAAATATATTATTTAATAAATCATTCATAAATAAATATTAATAATGTAATAAATAGACTAAATTAAACAAAATAAATAATAAAAAATAATTAAACCTTTATTTACAGCTACTTTCTTGATTCTGACACTCTTTTTTTGTTTTTCTTTTTAAATTACATCATTATATTATTATTGGTAATATTAGTTATATTTTATGAATGAAAATTAAAATTTAAAAATAATAAATTTTATTATTCCATCCGTTTCATGTTATTAATCGTTTAAGGTTTTTTATATAAATTATTAAAAAACAATATATTAATTGGTAAATAAAAATAATACTAAACTATTCTCCAATTCAATTTTTTGTATAGTTATTGCACAATCAAGCAGATGATGATTACATCTTTTTCTATAACCACATCTAAATGCTTTTTTTCTTTATTTATATGACTCACCTAATTGATTTACAGTTTACAATGTCGCAATAATTATTGTTTTTTTTTTCTCGATTATTAAGTATGTAAATGATAATGAAAGAATTTATATTAGTGTGACTATTGATTTAGACTAATATTAGAATAAAATTGTAATTATTTGTATTGAATGAACAAAGTTTTCTAAGTGTGTGAATAATACCATCGAACCCAGCTGTTTCAGGATTTTCAATGAACTCCTATCCCTGTTGAGCCTAACAAAAGGAAGGTTGGAAGTTAAGTTGTTTGGTATGTGTTTGATTTCAGGTCGTGGGTACCCAAAAAAGTCTATTTTAAGACATGAAAAAACATCTATTAAGACGATATCAAGTCCTTTTAGGGGATTTTCATGTACACAAGCACTACTCTGAAATGAAGATGAACAAAGAAAGTAAACAGAAAACAGAGCAGAGAACCCAACATAGATGTTAGCAACACCAAGCCATCCCTCAACGAGTAAGAGAAAAATGAAGAGCAGCATAGGCAGAACCAGAAACTATTAGACAAATGATATCTAAAAATAGAAAAATAGGTGAATAGATGCACAAACTAAATAAATATTAAATTAAAAATTTATTTTGATATGTCTAATATTTATTAATTTAATTTTAATTATCAAATTGAACAAAGATAAAAACAAAAATAATATAATCAAAGAAATAAAATATCAACAAGATAGAAATAGAAATAAGGGGCGTAAGAAAAATAATGCAGTGAAGAAGAGATAAGAGAATGAGAAGAACACAGTGGTTTATACTAGTTCGGATATAGTTAATCCTACATCCAGTTCTCAGTCAACTCTTAACACAAGAGTGACCATAATTCACTATCTTTTAAATTCAATTCACAAATTACAATCAACTTGGCAAAAAACAAACTAATTCAAAAGATAATCACCTCCTTAGAAAACCATTACGGATGGACATCTTCCTAGAATCCCACTAAGGATGAACACCTCTTCTAAACAAATCAAAAGATGAACATACCTCCTTAGAATCCCACTAAGGATGAACACCTCCCTAGAATTACACTAGGGATGAAAAACACCTCATTTGCCACCAATACACAAAGGATGAACACCTCCCTCGAATCACACTAGGGAATAACACCTCCTCTGAATAAATCAAAGGATGAATAACACAATTAATTAACTTAAATCTCTTAAACCCAAAAAGGATGAAAGAGTAAAATAAGAACAATCATACACAAATGATGAAGGTAATAAAAATAAGAACAGTCACACCTGGGAAATGGAGACACCAAATTGTAGAAGTTTGTAGAATGTCAACGTTCAAGAACAAGTATGATTACTAATGAATGCACGGAAAACGAGTAGAGAAGAGAGTTTTATCGAAGGTGTAAAATATTTTTGTTGCCTTGCCTTCATAATTTTTTTCTCAAAGCTGATTGAATGTAAATTAAATTTTTAAATTCCGTAATTGTGTGTTTTTTATTTTCCATCAAAACTTAATTAAATAGAAAAATAGTATCAAAAAATAGTTGTTGGTTATTAATATTTTCATAGAGAAAAATTAAGATGTATTTAAAAACATTTATTCTTCAAAACAGATATATTTTTCAAATTTGAATTATCATAATTGATTATGTTACCAGTATAATTAATTATGACAGAGAAAATCATTTTTCCATTTCTGATGCATCATAATTGATTATGACAGTGGAAAATATAATGTCACAAAATTTTATCACACTTGTGCTTTGGAGACTTATGCATAATATAACTTCATCAACTTATATCTCTATATCCAATATTCTAAGACTCTATATAGCCTTCAAGAATCATTTTAGATTTGTTTGAATCATCGTCTTTATCAAAAATCACATCTTGGACATTTTTGGAAAATGTTTGATATTGTCACCAACGTCTTAATTGATCTTGATGTCCTTAATTCAATTTATCTTGAATGATGTTAACTTAAATATAATTTACTTAAATCATCATTAAAATCATCTCTTTGAGAATATAAAACATTTCCATTAATCTTCTTCTTGCTTTCAAAAACACTTCTTACGTAGCCAGAAATAATCAAGTTTGAGTTTTCCAAATCTAAAAGGGCTGAGACCCGTGATCAACATTGCAGTGGAAGCCTTTTAATAAACTTTTGTTTGAAGTCACGGATGAGACCTCCACACGCTTAGGAACAACATAGGACGGAGTATAGACCTTTGGTTGCACCACATTTACTCACTCAGTGCTTATCAGTTCTCACCATGATATCAACTAACACTAGCTATATTGACCAAAGTAATTTGCAATTTATGAACGATGCAAATCACATACATTGAAGTTAATATATATGTATATTTAACTAATAGTTATTATACATGAACTGCTACAGTTATAGAATTGCTTGAACAAACAAAAGTAACAGCACAACATTTAGAAGCTCAAATTACCTCGAAGTAACCTCTGAAATAACTTTCAATCGTTTTTGAGCATCTGGCAATTGACCCGTGCAAGTCTGTCAGACTCACTGTGACTGTCAAATCATAACATTGTTTAGGTTACCATATTTGTAACATGCATCCACTATTTCAAGGAGTTTCCTCCTCCAAAACACCAGAAAAACAATCTAACACCACAAGCGATTGATTAGTCAGTCAGACTCATTGTGACTGTCAAATGATAACATGTTTTAGGTTACTATATTATAGTTAAAAAATATGCATCACAATGACTAATATCTATGGAGAAACTCACTACTTTCAGTAAAATCTCCTATTTTATCAGCTTTGTTCAATCATAACATATAACTTCCTCAGAACGTTGATAATATACATTGCTCAAAAAGTGAGTGTGAATTGATCAGAAGTCACCAAATTCAAAATACGCTAACAGTAACACTGTAAAGTCTATACCAATCAATCATTCAACAAGAACGAATTAACACTTGCCATCACTTTCTTCTACAGCTACTTAATCACAATATAAAAGAAATTAAAAAAAAATATATATACATTTACAAAGTTGGCTAATTGCGCAACGTGTTGAATTGAGTCCTAGAGAACTTAGCAGGCACTATTTTGTAATTATGTTGAATTTCTTCGGCAAGAGCCTCTTCCCCGAAACTCTTGAATCCATAAACCAAAACCTTAACCACGTACTCATCAGGGTCAGTGACGGTTCCATACCCACTCTTTTTCATCAACTCGTAAATCCTGACCGTTGATTCTTTCCTCCTGGCAGCAACGACGGCCTTGATGAAGCTGGCAAGCCCCTTATGATCGTCGCACTTTATCTCATTTTCATCTTCGAGGTCGAGGATCAGACGGTCCACGTGCTCGTGCATATCGGAGGCAGCGAGGGCCTGGACCATCTCGGCGTAGAGGGATAAATCGGCGCCGTATTCGGATCGGAGAGTGGAGAAGACGTGGAGGGCGAGGGTGCAGTGGCGCTGGCGTAGGAGCTCCCGGAGGGTGGCAAGGAGGTCGGATTTGAGGAGGCGCGTGAGGGTGTTGGAGAGGAGGGAGGGGAGGTTTGGAGGATTGGTTCGGTGGAGGCGTTTTAGGGTTTGGATGGCTTGGATTGCTTCGATGCTCAGGATTCGACCTTTCACCAGCGGTCCACGTTGGGACCGCGGTCCGCCGCACCGCACCCGGACGTAGCCCCAGCGCGCGGTGGCGGTTGGGGGCTGAGATTGGTGTTGGGGTTTAAGAAAGGTGGGGTTTTGGAACAGAGACAAAGCCATGGATAACGTGTGTTTGTGTTGATGAAGCAAAATAGTGACGAAGTTTATCATCTACAACAGAAACATAGTTGAATTCTAGGACTGAATACTCAATGACGAATTTGCCCTTTTCATACCATTAAAACAAGGTTTAATTACTTTTTATTTTTCACACACCCGATTTAATTGGTTCTCTTAATTAATGTAAAAATGTAATTTTAATTATGTAATCATTAATAAATTAATTACAATTTTTTTATTTAAGATTCATATTTAATTAATTAAGTTATATATCTAAAATAACAGAAATATAAAAAAAACATAAATTGTACCATCAATATTGCTCATGATAAATATTTTGAGAGTTGTCGTTACTTCGAGAGGCCCAATTATACAAAGCCCGGTAGCTTTATTGGACCTACCCATCGCAACCATAATCTTGTGCGGTGAATGGGTATTGAAGGAAGGTTGTTAAAAAAAATTAAATTAAAGTATGAAAAATAATTATTTTTATTAATATATATATATATATATTCTTTTATTTTAAAATTTAAGAACTGAAATAATTAAAAAAAATTAGTGCACTATTTAAACTAGTATCCCTGTGTTTTTTAAAGAAATTACTATAATGGTTTTGTTAAGAAAAAAATAAAATGTTTATTGAAATAGTTACTGTTATATTCAATATCTATATAATAGCTTATTTTAGGTTTAATATAAAAATAGTTAACTAAAGTTGAAAATAAATTTATTTTGAAAACATGCAAAGCACAGGATCTTAATTAGACAATAAGCTTGATTTCAGAATATTGTTGAGAATGAAGATGCCAAAGTAGAAGAAACACATGGACAAGTGATATAGGGTTTAGAGGTCCATGTCTATATGAATTATTATTATTATGAAGAGGAAAAGAGAAAGTATATATGTTGAAGGCATTCACCAAATTGAAGGAAAGCTCTTTGTGATGGGATAGTGCACAACAAATAGAATCCCTTCTTTAATTAGTCCTAGTTGAAAGGGAGGTTGCATGCTTATCACCATTATCATCTCTTTTATGTCCACTGTAGCATTTGTGCATGCCAAATGGGTCCCTCATGTTTCACACTTTAATAAGCAAAAGTAAGAGAACAACATATTTTCCATTACAAGACTTTCCATTTACTTTATCACCAAGCTTTTGTCATGGATAGTCAAAAATGGGTAGATGAGATTGAATGAGTAGGAAGAGCACTGGAGGCAACAAGTGTAGTTATCTATCCATGGTGGTAGAGTAGAGGACCAAGTTTGGTTCTGCAAATTAAAGTTTTCCAGCTATGAACCACAAGAAATGGGAGCAACATGAACACCACATGGTCCATGCAAGCTAAAGTCAAAAACCTGTTATTGTCACACCATAATCTATATGCCCTAACCCATTGTTCCACCATAAGACAGAAACCACATCATTAATTATATTTTTCAAACTAGTTCAAATTTATGCAGATGGGCCAAACCAGAACATGAAAAGACTAACTCTTTTTCCATATGTTGTTTGTCATTTCTGCAGTTTATTCCACCCTTCAAAAATAAGATTGACTAGCCACTTTTCCGTGAAACATTCCACAAGATTACAACTTTTGGCTTAATTCCCAGACACAATATTATGCAGATTCATCTCATTATGCACAGCAAGAAAGTGGGTGTTTTCCAATTTTTGGTCCCTATATATATGCCCAGTGCCTTCAAGAATTCCCTCACTTTAGTGAACCAGAGCTTACTCGTATCTTGTTCCTTTAGAAAGATTGTCGACCATATTGCTTTTTTAACCACCCTCACTTGCATAATCATCAATCTAGTAATGTGTGTATATTGGTTTCATAACACGTATGCATCACTTTTTGTTTTATATATACTTTTATGAGAATTATTTTTTTATTTCTTCCCTTTAGTAGTAAAAAGAAATAGAAAAAAAATGTAATGAAAAACATATATGTTTACTTGAGGGAGAAGTGATATGAGAAAGAATGAAAGTATTCATTTTAAAAAATAATAAATAAATAAATTTTAAAATTATGTATTTAATTATAAAATTTTGAATTGAATTTTTTATAATATCATGAGATATTTTATTAAAATAGTAATTCATGAGATATTTTTATAATATCTCATGATATTTATATTTAAATTAATGAAATAATATCATGAGATATTTTATTAAAATAGTAATTAAAATTTAATATATATATATATATATATATATATTAAAATTGTATAATAGAAATAAATAATTATTTATTAAATTAAAAAAAATTATTAAAAAAAAAATTTACACTTTTTTACTCATAAGTGAAAAATAAAAATATACATTACAATAAAAAATACATCTTTCTATATCATCAAACAAAAAAAAATATTTTTACTTATTTTCTTACAAACTAACATAGCCCAAAACTAAAACAATAAGAAATATCTGTTTTTTCACTGTGAATTCAATCTCTTTGCTTGTATAAGTCTATTTTTCCAAACTACATATTATGATATTTTTGTTAAGTATATTAGAATAAAAATTTAAGTTACTCTCCCAACAAGTTATTAAATTGATCTCAATATATTATTTAGTAAGTAATATTTCATAGTACATGTTATCAAATTAAAATCTTCTAAAGATTTAATTATTCCTTAATATAAAAGTAAGAATATATTTTGAAGAGTTAGAATATATTGTATCTCTTTTGGTTTTATATAATAATGTTATTTCATCATTAATAATGTCAAAAGAATGTGGAAAAAGCTACACTTATGTTTCTTTTTCATGTGTTTTCACTTTCTTAGGAACAATGAATGTCAATCTCACTCTTAGGGATCATTGAAGTTCAACAAATTTTTATAGTTGAATGATTGAAGCTTGTATTTAAATTGTAACTAGGAACTTGATGTAGTTTGAATCATGGTATATTTAATAATTTAAGCTCATTTCTTTTATAATTCAATAATATTTCAATTCTCATTAAATTACTTTATCATTATTACCTCAACTGTTAAGGCTAACCACTGCTCAAAACTATTAGTCAAATGGTCAATGGTCAACTCAAGAGGGTATTACTTAGCTTGTGTGAGGTCCAAAATAGTAATGAAAGGATATGATGTGTGCCACTTTTAAGGCTATGATTGGTTGGAGAGGGTAGAATTGGGATCCCAATAACTACATAAAAAAAAAAATATATATATATATATATATATATATATATATATATATATATATAAAATCTTAGTGAAGCTATAATAAAGAATATTGTGAAGTTTTTAGTGAAAATAACTACTATACCAACTATGCATGATGTGCATTTTCTAGGTGGGGGCACAATTGGTGCTTTGTACCAAGTAATAAATTAAGTTTGGTTAAATTTAAAGGAAGCATTAAAAAAGTCTTTTAATGATTCCAAGTTGTAGAAGACTAATAATTGGAGGGAAATAAATGCTTACAATTGCAAACTCTTACCTTCACTCTCTATCTTAATTTCTACAAACACCTTTTTTGGTTTTCAATATGTTGTTGCTGTGTTTAGCAGTCAATTTCAGCCTCAATTTTAGACAATTTAGGGTTCTTTGTTTTGTTTCCATAATCAGAATTCTGAGTGATGCTTCATAGTTTTTTTTTTCAACTTTTTGTTTATAATTGTTTTGGACAAGTTTGTTACTATAAAAAAATGATTTCTCATAATAAAATTAATTTATATATAAAAACTAATATATTGTAAAAAAATATAAATGATTTTAACAAATTATTGTTTTAAATTTGCCCATAAGTAAAAAAGAAGATTTTAGCTTATGAAAAAAATATTTTATTTTTCTTAATAAATTTATAAAGGGTTTATGTAATGATGTTTACATTGTATTTTGACATATCCTAAAATTTATTTTTTACTTTTTTAATTAATATTAATCCATGTATATACATTTTTTTCTTTGGGGTTTCGTGCGGTATTTATACATTATTATTAATATTTTTTTAATATTTAAAAATTGGGATTAAATTTTGTAATTATTATATATTTAGAGGATAAGTTCATTATTTAGAAACTAAAATACCTTTGATAGATTAATTCATATAAAATAATTTTTATCTTAAAAATAAAAAATAAGAATTTATTATATTATATTATTCTTAAATAATTTATTCTTAATTTTATTCTAATAAATTTTTTCTCAATAAATTATAATTTTTTTAACTATTTTATACTTTATTTATTTTTACAAAAATATTTTAAATAGGAATGATTCATAGAGTTAGTTTTTACAAATTTATTATATTATATTATTTTTAAATAATTAATTATTAATTTTAATGAGTTCATTGAGTTTCTCATTAGAGTTAATATTAAGGATAATTTATAAATATTACTGTATTTTAGTGTATTATTAATTTTAAATAACATATTTTTATATATATTTTATTGATAGTAACATGGTATTTACATGATTTGAAAAAAAAAACGAGAGAAAAAAATATCTAAACGACACACATGCTAAGATACGGAAATTTGTCTGCCAGTTTGGAACTGATTTCATATTCAACTAAAGAATGAAGATTCACATATGTTCCATCTCTTTCGTTTGTGTCGTGTTTGGTCTCATGCAAATTTATTCTATTTCTCTTTTTCACAATTTTATTCTCTATGTTTGTTTCTTTTTCGAATAGGAATGTCGTGATATGCATGCTATGCTGTGCTTCTAACTTCCACTTCCACTGTTTTAATCGCTACTATTAATAAGGATTTGAATCTATTAAAAATAAGGGAGACTTGTATTTTTAGGAGAGGAGAAAAAATATAGCTATGGAAAGAGAAAAGTTGTTTCATAAAAGCCAAGAAGATTCTTTACTGCATCAAAGAAGAAAAGCTCCCAGGAAATTCGTACCATGCCATACCATAACTCTAGTTTGAAACTCTACTTTCTCACTCCTTTGTTTGCTCTATTCTTATATATCTACCTATATAAATTTATACACATGACATACGCATACTCGCTTCACTCACCTGTTTAACTATTTCTAGTTTCTGTTGCATAATTTGAAACCTTTCACTGTGCAAAACTTTGATGTCTACACCCTTAGAACATGATTACATAGGCTTAGCAGAGACTCCATACATGGATAAAAGTTGTGATAAGATATCCTCTTCAGTTTCCTCCAACCTCTCCTCTGAGGATGAGAACAGTTCATCTCTGAACTTCAAGGAGACAGAGCTGAGGCTTTGCCTGCCCGGTTGTGAGTCTCCTGAGAACAAATCAGAAGCTGGAGGGATCTCTCTTTTTGGCAAGGATTTGCAGAATAATGGCTATTCTGCTTCTTCAACCCCTTTCAAGAACCTCAAGAGGGGTTTCTCTGATGCCATTAGCTCCTCCTCTTCTTCTTCTGGGAAATGGATTTTCTCAGCCAGTGATTCAACTGAGGATGATCTGAGAAATGGTGCTAATACCTCTGCACTATGCAACAAAGAGGTTGGTTTGGTTCCTCACTCTGAGAAGCCAGCTCATGTTGCTGCAACAATTGACCATGCTACTCCTTCTGCAAAGTAGGTTTTCCTCACATAATTATGCTTTATATAGTGTCTTGATAAACTTCTTCACAAATATTTATAGCAGAAGAAAATAAAAAAGTTTAAATGATTTGACTTCTTTATTATGAGATTAAATTATGTTATGTAGTTAGCTTTTAAATAAACTTTCTTGTTTAATTTATGTGAAAGCTCAAGTGTTTAAGTTCAATATTACTTATGAGATAAATTCAATTTAGAGAAATTTTGTTGAGTATGGTCTTATTTTGAATGTCTGGTCTCCCCTAACCAAAATAGAGAAGAGTGTATGTGGAAGGTTGGTAATCATTTCAAGGTTTTGTTACAGGTTACTAAAATTAAGGTGCATGAACTCACTGTTTTCTTTGAGACTTTGTTGAAACATTCGTTAATGCGTTAGTCTACTGTGTGTGTGTGTGTGTATATATATATATATATATATATATTTTGTCAAATTTTGAATATTTTATCCTACTTATGTGTTAAAGAAGTTTCCCATGGAAGTTAAATCTAGTGGCTGTTGATTTCTTTTATGGGATTTTTTTCTGTTTGATTATTGATATTGTGTTCTATGGGGTGGTAAGTGAAATATGAAACTTTGTTGTTGCAGAGCACAAGTTGTGGGGTGGCCACCAATTCGATCTTTTCGAAAGAACACGATGGCCTATAATTTGGCAAAAAGCAACACTGAAGCTGAGGAGAAACCAGGAGTTGGATGTCTTTATGTTAAGGTCAGCATGGATGGTGCCCCGTATCTCAGAAAGGTTGATCTGAAAACCCACAGCAACTATATTGAACTTTCTTCTGCTCTTGAGAAAATGTTCAGCTGCTTTACCATTGGTATGGTACCCTCTCTATCACATTCATTATGTTTGATTCAATGTTGTAACAAGCTGGTGAAAGTAGGTAGTATGAGTTTTCTCACTGTGATCAATCAGACACCTAACTGAATTGATGATCAAAATCAGATACTTTAAGTTAATATTCGGAGCCAAAGTTTCTGGTATAGGAACAATATTTTCCTTAGAATTGTGTATCATGAAGAATTTGTATTGCCGAAATCAGGCCAATGCAGTTCACGTGGAGTTGCAGGAAAAGTGGGATTGAGTGAGAGAGCTTTCAGGGATCTTGTTGATGGCTCTGAATATGTTCTTACATATGAAGATAAGGATGGAGACTGGATGCTTGTGGGTGATGTCCCTTGGGAGTAAGTTCCCTTTCATTTTGCTTCTAAGACTATTCATTAAATCACAACTTCAGAATCATATTCATTTTATTACAATTAGTACACAATTAGCAGAACATTTAAATAAAAATATCAATATTTTTGTTAGTCAGTTTACAATGTATAACAAAAATCTAATCTGCATACGCCGCTACAGGATGTTCACTGAGTCATGTAAGAAACTAAGAATAATGAAAGGCTCTGAGGCAATTGGACTGGGGTATGTATTACTCATATTATCATCTATATTTATGTTATCATTTTAGAGGGAAGTTTAACTAAAAAAGTGTTATGAATTTCGTTGCAGGTCCAAGGGCAATGGAAAAATCTAGGATCCAATACTAGCGAAGAAGATTCTGTTCCACTGTCTGGTTATTCACTGAAGCATATGAAGAAGGATTACGATAGAGTCTGAGTTTATGGTTGTGTATTAAATAAAACAAAACAAAACGCGTGTAGCGTTTCAGTTTTTGTGTGTTTGTTCAGTTTGTTCCTTGTTGTAGAATATGAAATATTTTGCTGTTTACTTATGTAGTGCACCTTTTTTTAATTCGTGCCGCTGCATAAAATAATTGCTTTTTATTTCTTCCCTTTTTTGACAATTCTTCATCATTTCTTAATATAAATTTGTTAAAATATATGCGAAAGTGCTAAACATTTTCTTAGCAATTTTAAAGGCAAAATCGAGATCTTGTCTTCTTTATTGAGATGTTTTATTTTTACAAGTCCAAAATCTATCCTTCCATAGAAGCAGGAACAAAGGTAAGAATTTATTTTCACGCGGCCAAAGTTTTAGTTAGTGGGAAGCCAAAATTAAAGATGATTGGATTAAGACTTTTTATTTGTTATTAACTTTAAACAAAATTATTCTTAATAAATATTTATCGATAAAAAAATATTAGTAAATTTTTAAGTCTCATTTAGTTATTAACGAAGAAGATTTTTGTTCATTCTTGTAATTGTTGAATTTTAAAATGTGAGAGATTAAAGTTTTTTAGTAGAGTGGTGATATTTTGATAATCGAAACTATTTAACCCTTCAAACAACTCACTTTTATTAATATAATAATCTATAAAATGATTAAATAAAAATAAAAAATAAAATAAAATTATTATTATAATATTAAAAGAGAGTTGTTTATAAAAGTTGTATGGATTTTGGTTGTCAAAGTATCATTTTCCTTTCTAGTATGAGGAGGAAACAAAAGTGTCATTTGTCGTGAAGAGAGAGAAAAGAAAATGATACTTTGACAACTCAAATTCATACATCTCCTCTAAACAACTTTCTTTTAATATTATAATAATAGTTTTACTTTATTTTTTATTTTTATTAAATCATTCTATAGATTATTATATTAATAAAAGTGAGTTGTTTGAAGGGTTGTATGGTTTCTGTTATCAAAAATATCAACACTCGGAGAGAAAATAACAAACTTGTTAGATAAATTGAGTCTTTTATTTATTTTTTAATAAAAAATTTGAGAAAGTGGGTTACTTTGTATTTGACGGAAGTGACTCAACAATATATAATAAAGAGAAGTTAACGAGAGACCAATATTTTTTTTTAATTCATAGCACTCAAAAAAATTATTAAAGTTTGGGATGGTCATGACCCTATCACGTCACCATTTCTCTCCTCCACTAGATAGAAGATTGATCAACAGAGATAAAAATATTTCTTTATTCTTGATGGATCTTAAATACTTATTTAAAATAGTCTTAATTATCTTAATTATTTTAATAACTAATTATTTAATTTAATTAATTTCTTAACTAAGATCAAGATCTTTTCTTATAGAAAAATTATATATGTGTGGTTAAAATATTTTCAACACATTTAGATTCGAAGTTTTGACCAGATATTCTTATTATTTTTCACTAATTATTCGAAAATGGACTCAACTTAAAAAATGCTAAACAACAATGATTATTTTTTTAAAAGAAAAAATATTTATTTATGAAATGTCTCCTTGTATTATTTATAAACTGGTTTCTAGTTTCATTAATATTAAAAAAAAAACTTTTAACTTTTTTAGAGAAAATTTCCATAACTTTGTGTTTCGATACAAATAAATAAACCATGTTTAGATAAAAATAAACATTTTTTACTCACTTTTAAACCATTCAATAAGATCTTAAAGTATGTTTCCTGTATAATCAAAGTGATGGTATGCAATTTCAAACTATTTCAAGTGTCACTTCATCAAACTATGGAGTAGAGACCAAGAACGCCAATAATCATGTTTTTGAAGGAAACTTCTAATTCCAACTCAATTAAGGAAACATGGTTTTGAAAAAAGTAGCATGGGATATGTATTTATGTGACAACTTAAAATACTTCATCAATGTTCACATCTTATTCACCTATATATGAACATAGTCAGGTATGAAAGACTTCTGCCAAACGATCACAACAGTAAAAATAAGATGTTATGATATAAGTTTGGCATAGTATTATTAGGATTTATTATTATATTTAAAATTTTAGTCATTTTGAAACTTTATTTTATTACAATTTTATTTTAAAATATAAATTTAAGTCTCACATTAAATAAAAAATAAGAAAATTGAATAATATATGTAAAAAAATTCTTAATTTAATATTTTAAAATTTTAAATTAAAGATAATATCAACCTTTCGTATAAATTAAATTTATATGTTATTTTTTAATAAATTTTCATCTTACTTATATAACTTATTTTTAAACTCAACTCCTAATAAATATCACTATTAAAAAATAATATTAAATTCAATTATTAATAACAAATCATTTTTTTCCAATCAAATCACCTTTCTTTTCATTCATTTCATTGTTTTTTTTCTCTATACCAAATGGAACATGAATGTTCCCATCATATAAAACATTTTTTATTCACACGTATTTTTAGGTCAACAATATGCTATATATAGGTACTGCAACAACGTTAGATCCATGTGAGTTTTTCTATCCTCTTTATTACATTTTAGATCGTACACTAGCTCAAATCAATGGAACATGTAGCCTATTGCTAGATAAACTTTTGATACAAGAGATCTTTATACATGAATCCATCATGAGAAAAACACTTTTTATATAAGAAATTATCAACGATCATCCATCTATAAATTTCTTTCGGGTAAATTATAAATTTCTTGTAGTAACAGCTGAATGTATTATACTGGTGTGAACTTGTCATCAGATTTTTCTGCGATATTGATGTAAAGTACAAACCATGTGAGAAGAGAGGATTGAATAGAGTCTTGTCCTCTCTTTCTTCGTCATGGTCTAAAAGGACGTGACTTTCATGGTGTTTTCTCTTGCTTGTTTTGATTGGAAGTTTACATTTGAAGATTAATAATGCTCACTTTCTGGGCCTCACCAACACCTTTTATACAATTGGGACAAGCATAAAATCCTAAACCATCCCATCTTCATGTAATTTAACACTTCTGTTGACACTTTGCATCAAGGAACATAGCATATTTCTTAGTGCATGTTTGATATATAAGATATTATTTCTTAGACATAATTGCTTATATTTTCAAAGTTCTTTGGCAAAAAGAAATGATTATTTTTATCCAAATAAGCAAACTCAAACACACACTTCGTTGCTATGATTAACATTTCTAGACAGTGATATAGTCACATGTCACACTTGGATCTTTCATCAGGTATTACAGCTAATTATTGGCTCTTTCCCTTTGTTTTTGTCAACACAGTAAAGCCTAATCCACTGTTTAATTGTGCTAAGTCACTGAACCATTACTCCCAGGGACACTTCTGAAAGAATAAGAAGCTCTACATTTTTCTTTCAAACTACTTTGATTTTCTTGATCTCTGCATTAATTTTCAGTGTTGTAAGCATGTGAACTTCTGCATAGAGATAAATGTCAGTGGCACAGTAGTCCTCGTGCATGGCATCCAAATTAAAAGTAAAGCTTAAAAAGTAAACCTTTAGAGACAATAAAGCACTTCTGCACACCACCAACCTCTTGAATTCTCATCAAATTAAACAGTAGCACACTTTACAAATAAATTACAAGAAAAAAAAAACATAAAATGGAAAGCAAGAGAGATAGAAAAGCAAGAATTGTTTTTCCTTCTTTTATTATCAAGAAACATGAATTACACAGGCCATGATCTCAATCAAATCAAAATTCACTGGAAAGAGGTGCATGGTCAGAGCGAATGAACACATTGCCGTAGATAAGGCCAGCCAAACCACCACCAATAAGAGGTCCAACCCAGTAGATCCAGTTGTCATGGAAGTCACCACTCACAACTGCAGGCCCAAAGGAGCGTGCAGGGTTCATTGAGCCACCAGAGAATGGTCCTGCTGCCAAGATGTTGGCACCAACAATGAAACCAATGGCAATGGGTGCAATGGTTCCCAATGAACCCTTCTTAGGGTCAGCTGCTGTGGCATATACAGTGTACACCAAACCAAATGTGATGATGATCTCTGTAACAACTCCTTCAACAACTCCAACCCCGGATGCCACGCTGTGGATTGGAATTGCCTGGCAAGAAATAACAACAATTGATCAGCTTTAGCAAAAATTAACTAAACATCATGCTTTTATTTAAAAAGTGACTAACACTAGAAACAAATGAGAATATTAACATGGATGTTTGAATACTGGCTACACACAAAGTGATAATAGAAAAGATATATTGGTGAAGCAAATGTTAAAGAAAAGACGAGAGAAAATCGATTCAGCAAACTTAGAGACATACAAATAAGTCATTCAAATCATCAATAAATAATATTTTTGTAAATCTGGTCTTTTACTGAATTGAATGACGTGGTGCAATCCATGTAGTCCACCTGTATTTAGTGAGAAAAGATTTTTGATATTATTGTTGTATACAGTATAGTATTAAATGGAGGTATATCTTCGTTATAATTCTAAGTAGTATGTCCCATCTTAGCCGTAGCAGAATTATACCAATGGTCCCTTTATAGAATGATAGAAAAAGGTTGGGTATCTAAGTGAGTTAAGTTCTATACTTCCTTCCAGTTGGATTACCCAAAAGCATGTAAACATGTCCTTGGTTTATGCATGAAGCTTCTAATGCAAGGAAAAGATTTGCAAAATTCAAGTAACCATGTCTTGATTCCACAAGTGATTTTGAACCATAGAGATTCTTCCCACTTAAACTTACCAAACCTCCTGTGACATAGCTGAGAAGAAAACATGCGACTATGGAGCCAAGAAGCTGTGCAATCCAGTAGAAGATGCCAGTGAGGATGGTGATGTGGCCTCCAAGAGCCAATCCAAAAGTCACAGCAGGGTTGACATGGCCACCAGAGATGTTGGCACCAACAGAAACTGCAACAAAAAGTGCAAAACCGTGGCAAATAGCAACTGCCAGTAACCCAGCAGGATCAAGTGCTGCACCTGATGTCAACTTCCCTACAAGTAAAGTGAATAAAAAAAGTTAAACTAAGATAATTTCATATTGTTTTGTAAACTTCTACACGGTGACAATTCAAATTAAAAATGTCTTATAGCCAATTACCAGCCAAAACAAACATTGTTTCATGATTTTTAATTTATGTTCAGGGTTGTTTTATGTTTAATCATGGTGAAACACCTTCAGATACTTGAATGGACTAAAATGACAAAAGAGTGGCGGGGTTGAGACTGAGATCTTAGGTTCAATTTTGTTTTGAAACCGATAAAACTAACCATAGGCTATGGCTGAACCAACACCGGCAAAAACAAAGAGCAAGGTTGAATTGAACTCAGCAATATAGGCTTTGATTGAGCTGAAACTGAAAGAATCATCAAAGCGTCCGAATGCAATGCCACCCATCTTCAGAAGTTTTCAGGGGAACTGTTAAAGATGGAGGTGAGGAGAGGATGAGTAAGGAAATGTTCCAAATAAGAAAAGTAGTACAAAATGCTTCTCTGGTGGGTTATATATACATATATATATGTGCAGCAGAAGTTGTCGAATACAATGTTAAGGTTTATTTAAGAATAAAATGTGTTATGTAGATACTTCCAGAGTTTGGTTAAAATTAGTTTTAACTTTTAATCTGCATTTTTAAAGCAATGATTTTGAGGTTTGCTTAAATGTGATGTATTTCATTCCTGGTTACCACATTTTTAGAAATATAAAAACAAACATTACCATTATTTTAGTGTGTTGTTTGCATGATAAAAGGGATGGTTATGTGAGACATATCCATGCACATCCAATCAGGTATTTATTTTAGAGGCAAACTTAGCTGTCATTGGCGTGCTTTATGAGAAATGTCCAGAAGCTAATAAATGATTCCTCCATGTGAGAAAAAGAGAGAGTGGTAGAGGTGATGTTTGGTGGTGGGGTAGAATGTGAAGGAAATAATCATAAAAGAAAAGTAGAAGTGGAGAGAACATGAATAGCTTTGGGCCACAAATAGCACCGGCCATGCTAAAAAAAATGGCAGGGAGGTTGTGGACTTTGAAAATGAGTGAACACAAATTCCTTGGTGCTTATGTTTTTAAGTAATTAATGTGTCACATGTTGGTGGTTTAGGCCTATGTTATGGATAAGTTGGTCGGCCAATTAGTGATGAGCAAAGAAATCATTTTGACTTTTTGGCGCTTCTGTCAGAAGCTTTTTCTTTTTCATAAAAATGTTTGGTTAATTATGCCTATGTGATGATTAGTTTATTGCCAAGTTTAATGATTATGAATTGTTGATGTAGAAACGTTTACATTATAGATTAATCAGCAGTTATTCTTATAGTACAAGTTAATAAATTTATCACTTAGCATAGTCTTATATTGTATAACACTGTAAAACTATGTTATTATGTTATATTGTTCTGGTGAAAAATATTTTCTCTAATATTATATGCATCACTGATAAAAAAATACATTTAATAACTATTTATTACTAGGTTGATAAGATAATATTATATAATTTTATAATATTTGAATATATATTATGTCGGTTACAAGAAGAATTAATTAATTATTATGTCCGATATGAAATAAACTGACAAAATAAATTTATTGGTGATATTTTTGTAATTTTAAACTTTAAACTTATTATTTGGATGGTATGAAACCACATAGTAAGTCTTTTTTTATATTGAGTGTATTTAGAACTAATATAATGTGTGACAGGAGTATTTTGTAATATTAAACTTAAAATATTTATTATGTCAATTCTTGTTACATTAGATATGATATGATATAATAAGTAAGTTATTATGTTTATTTTTTTATAATCGATATAATATGTATTTAGGATTAAACTTTTATATTTTATTCTTTGTGTTGTGTTTTTTTCTATTTCGTTTTTCCGTAGTCTTTTAATACCACATTACACAGTTATATCTTTATATTGTAGACAATGTTTGCTAATTTGAGTTCTACTTCTCTCTCGTGTTGTGTTCTCCTCTTCTTTCTCTTCCCGCGGTTTCTTAATCATCTTTTATATTGTACAATTTTCTCTTCATTATTATTAACACCATTGTCCTTGTTCGAGTTCTAATTTTTCTTCATTTATTTAAGTTATAATTCTTCTTCCTATATTCTTTCTATTGTTTCCTCCCATCAACATTTTTTGATTTCGTGGACAAGTTTTTATTTTGACTTATTATTTGATTTAATTGTTAAAAATGTGTATATGATGATGATAAATATGAAAATAATTGAATGTGGTAGGTGTTTGCAAAGTTTATGTTGGTGTTTGTGGGACAATAATAATGTTGAATATTCTCAATTGGATACATCTCTATGATATACATCCTAAAAAAAAAAGTAATACAATTTTTTTATTCAAGTCTACTCGTTTATATTTAGTTTTTACTTCTTTTTATTTTATTTCAAGTTTAAGGTTTGGGTGATTGAAACGAGATAAATTAGGTTAAAGAAAAATGAGATTTAATATATCTTATATTGCTGGAATTTGTCAATAAATCTAATTTTTGAGGATTAATTTTGAATTATTTGAAACTAAACACACAAAAACATTAGAATGAAACAAAGGAGTTAAGGCAATTTTAGTTTACTTATTTTGTGTTATTTTCATTTTTTAAAGCAATAAAAATGTTGATAACTCTATTTTCTCTGCACCTTTGTCCTTTTAAGAGAATCGCAAAGCCTTAATTAGGATATAACCATTCATCACATTCTTCCATTTGTCAAAAACTCGTCAAATTTTGTGTTGATGATTTTTCTGATATTGACATGGATAAAATATTATACAGCAAAAATAATAATTTATTTTCATGTAGACCGAGATTGACCTATTATAATAGGTAATTGTTTGATAAATTATGTGCACAACAAACATATGTAATAAGAACATTGTTTTGTTGTTGTTGCTTAACGAGATTTTACTCCTTCGTTTTAGGTGGGAGAGATTAAAGCGTAAGATGTAAGCATAGTTGCCAATATAACAGCATTTCGAGTCCTGGTAAATCCCAATAATGCATCAATTAGGTGTTTTTTGTTTCTTTAATATGCAAAAAGGATAGAAATTGAACAGAAGTATTTTTTTATTATTTCTGGTTATTTGAAACAATCAAAGCATGAATCTAAAATTAAAGGATTTGAGGTAGATATATAACTAGTTGTTTTGTCTCATCCATTGTTATTTGTTGGGTTTAAAACCAAGTTTCCTATTTGGTAAGAATGTTAAGAAGCAAGACTCTTGTGTGGATCAAACATCTGAACATACACTCCAGATAAGTGAATGTGTATTGAAATTGAGATGAAAGGACCAAAGCAAAGCCCTTCCATATTGGGGGACAAAAATATGACCACCAAACAAAGATAAGATTGACTAGGTAATCCCTTTATTTTTTACATTGTTGTCTTAAACTCTATGGTCGTACTCTTTCATATTTTCAATTGTTGTAGTTGCTTATATTTGTTAATTTCTTCAACTTTTCTTGAAATTGTATATTTTGTAATTTTGCATTATTTCCTCTACAATTTACACACCTAATAATATAGTTTGCAAGCAATTAATGGACATAAATGCAAATAAATGGACATAAACGCAAGCAATTTGAGCGCATATCAGTAATTATGACTATTCTACTTACATATCTATGGAGTCTCAAATACTGTGTTTACCTGTGAAGCAAATATTGTCGTTATTGGAATAAACATAACAACCCAAGTCCAATTCACAGTTGTAATCTGAGTTTCTTCCAAGGTTATCTTGAGTTATTTCCTATTATTCTAGGTAAGGAAAGATAAGTTAAACATTGTCTTCTAATGTCAGATGTTGATCTTTTCATAGTGAAGAGTTTTAATAATTCATTTTATACTTACTTTTAATTATTGTAATATTTTTATAAGTTATTATTTTTTTGTTTGTTTTTTTTAAACAATGTTAGGTAATTTTTTTTTGTTTTAAGTAACTTTATATATAAATAATAATTTCTTGATTGATGTGGCATAAAATTCATGAATTAAAGTTGGATCAATTATAGATGTACAACTAAATATGAAAATAGAGTAGAACAATTTCTTAAATTTGTGAAAATTCAAATGTTCCATATAATAATAGAAGATTTTATTGTCCTTATGTTAATTGTTTGATACAACGAAGACTACCAATAAAACTTATACGTGAACATGTCTTATTTGTTGGTTTTCTAACGAGTTACACAAAGTGAACATCACATGGTGAATTAATGGACATGTCAAATGGACATGTGTCTGAAGCAGAAATTGATGTAAAGATAAATAATAAATTTGAAGAAATGATTCATGATGTTGGACATGATGCATTCCAACATGCACATGTTATGATAATTTGTGCAATGAGGTGGAGAAACATTTGTATCCGAGATGTACTAATTTCAAACGATTGTTAGCAATATTGAAATTGATCAACGTGAAGGCAAGGTAGACCGATAAAAGTTTCACATAATTACTTGAGTTTCTTAGTGACATGCTTCCTAAAGGTAACACACTACTGACACGTAATTATGATGCAAAGAAAATATTATGTCCAACGTGTATATAGTATAAAAAAATACACACATGTTGAAATGATTGTATATTGTACAAAAAAGAGTTTGACAAATTACACTAATATCAACGGTGTGGTGTATCATGATACAAACAGAGTGATGATGATTCTAAATCAAATGTTAAGAATGGTCCACCTGCAAAGATGTTGTGGTATCTTCCTGTAATTCCAACGTTGAAAAGATTGTTCACCAATGCAAAACTAATTCGATGACATTCATATGAGCGTAAAAAAGATGGTCATCTAAGGCATCCAACAGATTCTTTGCAATGGAAAAAATTTGAATCCATGTTCCCAAATTTCAGTAATAATCCAAGAAACATTAGGCTTGATACAAGTGGTTGTTGTAGAATTTTGAGATGCTATTGCTCGAGTCCCTGTGCCCACTGAAGAGGTTTAAATAGTGGGACAAGCCTAGGGTATTTCTTCTTTGGCTGATTAGATTGACAAAATCGATCATAACAAGGGTAAGTTAATTTACCAAATTTAATTATGTATTTTTATTCTTTACATGATTAAATGAGTTTAATATATGTATATTGTTAAATAGGATGTTTTCATAAAACAAAAAGAAGTTGTTAGAAATACAAAATCATAATTATATCCTATGCAATGACTTAGTGTAGTGACAGTAACTTAAAAGAAATAACCTGTATAAATAGATATGTCTTTTGAAGTAGTAAGCAAAACCACCACTACCAACCCTTTCTTTATCTGCCAAAGAGATGTGTTTGATATTTTTACGTATATCAATACTACAACTTTGATTGTTGTAAGTATATTTTCATTAACTTCAAATTTTTTAATGCATTCAATATGTTATTCTAACATTATTGTTTTTCACATTTAAGGTATTTACATCGTCTGCATTGAGATAAAGAATGTTTACATTTATAGATTTCTTAATCTTGTTGTCATTCAAAGCGTAGGGAATAAAGTTAGGGAAGTGCAAACATATTTGATATAAGTATTTCAAAATTCAGGGAAAGAATTATATTTAGCACCTTACTTGCATCAATAAGTATATAATATTTCCTTAATAATGATTTTTACCTTTCAATTGGTATTAATGTTATTACAACTTGAACTATTAATAATTATCCCTCGACAATTTTTAGTGGTTCTTTTGTGCTCATTACACAAAAAAACTATTATTTGGCTATTAGAAATATAATAGACTCGTAATTCAACTATATATTTATTTGTTATACAATTTAATACTAATGAATTAATTGTTTAATATAATTTAATTTATATTGTTTTATATAGAACTGCAGATGCACATGTAAAGTTGCGGGTCCACAAGTTGCTAGGAAGAAACTTCAATATATTGCACCTAATGTAAGTTATTTCTATAACTACTATTCATTTGTTAAAATGACATATGTTTTCATTATCATTTTTATATTTTGCAATGTTCACGTCAACTAGGAAACCATGAGTGTGGATATTATGTGATGAAGCACATGCACACAATCATATATGGTAACATTATTGACTCATGGAAAGAGGAGGTAATATACAAAAAAAATTCAAGGACACAACTCTATGTTGCATGCTACACATATTAATTTGTACAACATATTCCTACATGTATATCTGTGTCATTATAAAAAATTTTGTTGTCTGATGTTTAGTGATACTTTGCTTCAAGAAAAAACTATTATAAGTGAGGAAATATTGAAGAACAAGAACAACAAAATTAAGGTAACAAGAAAATAAGAGTGGAGGAAAAATTACTTCATTGAAATATTTAGAAGCGATTAGCTCAAAATACATTATGTTATGCTTGAAAATTAAGAGTTTGTCTTATTAAACAAACATTATTCAATTAATTCTTGGCACGAGAAACTTCAACCATTATATATATATATATATATATATATATATATATATATATATATATATATATATATATATTTGTCTTGTTTATCAAGTTTTGAAGAGTTTTTTATGCTCTTTAAATTACACTACGTTACCCTAACAAATGATTCTTATTATTACAGGGAAAATAAGTTTTTGATGTAGTTTCTTTAATATCAGTTATGCATCTTGAAAGAGATAAAGGATTAAAGAAAATGTTTGTTACTAGTTATATATGTATAAACATGTTACACTTATGGCTACTAATTCTAGGGAAAATGAGATTTATTTTCACCTAGTTCTCATGCTATCATATATAAAGGGTGTTTGTCTTCTAAAAGAGAAAATAAACGTGAAATTTGAAAACACCAAAACTTATAATTGAGAATATCAACCTTAGCTTAATATGAAAAATTAGATGACCCAAAACTTATAATTGATGTCAAATTTGCTTTATCATTTGTTTTTTATATAAATAAACATACCTTTTGTTGTCCTCTTTTCACTAAAATGACATGATGTCGGTAAGGTATTAGAGGAATATGAAAATGAACTAAGAGGTAATTATTATTTGTTATTTCTTTATTTTTAATTATTTATTAATTAAATAATTTTGATTTTGTAGATATTCAATAATTCATATCTATTGAAAAAAGAAGTTATAGAAGATATGAAAAAAAAACGAGCTTCTCATTTTTTATAATTTATAAATTGTGTTAACTTTGAATGATGTAAATTAAATAACATTATATACACTTAATGTTTTTTTATGTATTTTATATATTATTATTAAACACACTAGTGCAAAAAGGGGCTTTTACGTCAGGTATTTAGGGCTTTTTACGTTGTATTTAAGTCCGACGTTAAAGCTGGAGACGTAAATTTACGTCGGACCCTTTTGCCCGACGTAGATTTACGTCGATTATCCAGATCCGACGTAGATTTACACTAAACAGACGTAAAAACCTTTTCAATTTTAAAAAAATAAATAATTTACGTCGCATATGGTATACGCGACGTAACGACATAAATTTACGTAGCATATACCAATACGCGATGTAAATTTAGGTCGCATATTGGTGGTGGCACCAGGTCCTGTGTTGCCATACTCAGCATAGTACAATGTTTTGAGAGCAAAGTCTCCATTCCAAGCTGTCCATCCATCGGGGTGAATGAAGTCACCTATTTCCGATTCCATCACAATGGTTCTTGAGAACTCCTTCCATGGCCTTCCAAGGTAGCTCCCGATCTTGTCCTTTACTCGGGACCAGCTTGTCATCGGGTTTGATTGTGCACTTCGGAGCACAATTCCAGTGGCTTGTTGCTTGTCCTCTCTCCCTTGTGCCTGTCACCATGTTCTGCCGGTTGTCATTTGGCTTCCTCACAACCATGATGCGGTTCTAGAACACCACAGCTTGCATCACCAAAGATGAAGTCAATTGTGCCACTAACGATGCAGCTCCTGTAGAACTGTCTCGTGGGCTTGGACGTATAGAGTGTCTTGGTAGCCCTCAAAACGACAGCTTGGCGAACATCGCACGATCCGCTCGGACTCTTGCAGCCACCGCTTGATGTCCATCGGGGCCTGCAGTGTTTCGAACCCCATTGCTAGGCCTATGAATCCGTCTCCCTCTACCACTGCGCGTGCATGTGCCAAAACAATATGTTACCCATTTATAATAATAATAATAAAAATATACATCACATGGTGAAGGGTGTTTAGTTTGAGACATGCTCGCGTACCAAAACTTGCAGTTAGGAAAGTCCCGACTCCGTCCTCGTAGTTTTTGTTACCGGTGATGATGGTCTTCTCGGGATCTATCACCGTACATGGTTATATTTTGCATTTTCTTTGTTATTTTCACTGTCTCATCGTATATTCCCTCTTTAACAAAAATCACATACCTGCATTTTCAAACCCCAATAATAATTATACCTCAAACGATAGCAAATATACGTGCAGATATAAATAAGCTAGAGGCTTCTAGCTACGGGGTAGAGCGTGTGAGAGAGGCTAATTACCGTCCTTCATACTTTGCAGGGATAGAATTTAAACATTCAGAAATGGTTTTGAAGTTTCCACTGCCATCTTTTGCCACGGTAACATTAGGTTTAGGTTTGTTATCTGTGGCCTTCAAATAAACAAATTGAAAACAACAATGGAGTCTGTAAACCGAATGCACTCAAACAAATAAACAAATAATTACATTCCAATAACAATCCAGTGGAGACATTCATACTATAACGTGATTGAGATCCCCAAAAACAATCACGGATTCAATGTAAACATATAGCAATGACATAGAACACTAACCTCGAGTGTAAACGAAAACTGATTTCAAACTCGAATCCAATCGGGGAGAAAGATCAAGTTCGTCAAATGACACGATAATGTAGATGCTTTTCACGGTAAAACTGCTCGAAAATGGTGTGCAGAGGTAGCTGTTGTCGTCGTTCTCGTCGTCGTTCTCAAAAACCCTGGTTGCGTGAGACGAAGAAGTGGGTGTGGAGGGAAATAAAATAGACTTTTTACGTCGCGCATCCCAGCACGCGACGTAAAAAGCCATCTTTTACGTCGCACCTGGAGGGCGCGACGTAAAAGAGGCTTTTTACGTCGCATACTGGGATGTGCGACGTAAAATTTTTGTCTCATATTTACAAAATTGCCACCGCATTTTATTTACGTCGAATATACATGCATACGACGACAATTGGGTGACGTAAAAGCCCTGTTCTGCACTAGTGACATATTATGAATTTATTAAGTATATAATCTGCTTGAAAAATATATATTTATTATTATGCAGGGATGTTGATGTATAAAATCAAAACAATTATTTAAAAACAACTCTACCTTTTTATGTTGATTGCAAATATAATCAACATAAAAGATGTATTTTTTATGATGGATCATATCAAAATTATCATAGAAATGTGAAACTTTTTATGACGGTAATTACTTTAACCATCATAAAAAATAGAGTTTCTATTATTATTAAGATAGTTACGGTCATAGAAATTGGTTACACCAAATTCATTTTTTATCCTATTTTTTAAATTTTTATGATGATTGAAAGTGTAACCAACATAAAAAATAATTTTTTAAATTGTTTAAAAAACCAACAAATTTTTTTTTTATATATCCTATATCTATATCTATGGTGATTTAAAAATCGATATAAAATATCCAAAATAACTTATATTTGTCTAATGAACAAACCTTTCGTTAATCATCTCATGTAATCCTTTTGCACTTTGGCATTGGTCAAAGTTGAACGTGAAGTGTTTGTTCAATGCCTATAGTTTGAACCTACGAAGCAAAAAACTATCCATGACCCTCATTACTATCACTAGTAGAATGGCTTTGTTTTCAACAGAATTAATTGAAAGTGGCATGACTCAAGTTACATAAACCGTTTTCTGCAATACTAAGACTTTCCAACCAAGTTTCATGGATGAGTCATATATGTATAACCAGCTATATATTCAAAGTAAGTATTTGTCATAAGAAAGTCTAGCAGGATTTAAGAGAGGCATCACTAATTAAAGTGTTAACTACAAATGGATGAACACATGGGGTGGAAGAAGAATGTACCCAAATGGGTGAAAAAGGGATAAGGTTCAGGATTGGGCCTGCAGAAGAAAAAGAGCTTATTGGGCCAAAACATGAAGAATGGGCCGAAGCATGTGATAATTTTTATATAGTTGTTTTCTTTTATTCTTTAATAGTATTAATTAATATTTTTAAAAAATCAATAAAAAAAAGAAGAAAAATTGTGGAGTAACTAAGCTTTCTTCTCTTCCATTAAAAAAATAAAATCCAAGAAATGAAAATATATTTTCTTCTCGTGCGTTTTAAAGTGATACAAAAATATTTGGGAGTGTCCTTTTCTGTCTTTTCCCCTGTGCCTCTGTTATGGTTCCTAGGTAGACACACCAAAAACGTGGACACTACCAACGTTTAAAATCAAACCTACCTCTTCCTTTTAATTTTATAATGTTTTAAGTAGTTTTTATTTATTTGTATCACATGATATGGAAATTTAAATTTAAAATTTTATACAAGTTATTCAAGCTCCTTATTAAGTTTATATTTTTTTTATTATTATTATTATAATCTTATAGTATAAAATTTATAGTTATTTAAATAAAAACACCCTTTTATATTCATATTAAAATAAAACCCTACTTTACTTCTTATATTTATCATTGTTTTACATTAAAAATGTAGGTGATATTAATTAATGTAAAATAAATACATGCAATTTTTTTCTAATAGAATTAAAAAAAAACTATTATTACCATATAAAGTAAAATCTCCATTTTAATATATGATATTTAAATTTTGATTTAAAAATTAAAATAAATATTTACATTCATTATTTTAATAAATTTATTAATTTTTTAATAAAATATTTTTATCATTTTAATTTGATTTTTCATTCCAACTATCTTATAATGTGTTATTTTCTTTATATAATAAATATAATTAAAAAATTAGGAGAATAAAGGATAAAAAGATAATTAATATAATTTTAATTTTGAGAGTCCAAATATATCTAAAAACATTTTTTAAGAGAATTGACAATTAAAAAAATACAAAAAAGTATTAAATTTTGTACAAGAAAAAAAATTATTTTAATCTATAAAATAACCTAACTTGGTATGATTTTAAAAAAGAATATAATACTTTAAAAAAATTTATCTTGCAACCATCACAAATTAATAGAATTTATGTGTTTGTCAAAGCTTTAGTACCCCAATAAAAATAACACAACACCATAATTAAATTAATCATAAAAGTAGAATGAAAATAAAATATTAGTATTTAATTAAAAGTAATATATCCTGTCTGAATAAATTTATAATTTATTTAATTTTTTAGTTGAAAGAAGAAGAAAAATAAGAAGAAGTTTATTTGGTGCCACAAATTGTCTTTTCTTTCTCTGTCGTTCTCTTCGTCTTCGATTCTTCCCCAAATCTCAAAACCCCGTCGGAGGGTTTCGTTGTTCATTCGATTCACCTCAAATTTTTGCGATTTTTCAAACCCCTATTTGGATTTTCCATCTGGGTTTTCGTTCCCGATCGATCCGTGGGTTTGAGATTCAGAGATTAGCATTCATCTCGCCTTTTGATCAAGTTTTTGCATTAAAAATCTCATCTCAGTGGGCAGATTTTGGGTTGTTGTGATTTGGGGAAAAATGGAATCGAGTCGAAGAGCGGTGGAGTCGTACTGGCGGTCGCGGTTGATCGATTCAGCTACATCCGATGAAGATAAAGTGACTCCCGTTTACAAATTGGAAGAAATCAGCGAACTTTTGCGTTCTTCGCATGTTAGTATTGTGAAGGAGATTTCAGAGTTTGTCTTAAAACGTTTAGACCATAAAAGCCCAATTGTGAAGCAGAAGGTACTTAAAAATCCATTTGTCTTTGGTTGATGTAACCTGCATGTGATTGGATGAGTTGGATCTGGGTGGTTTAAACTTCAATTTATTTTATTTTTATACTTTTTTTTCGGCGGTGTGGGGGGAAGTTTTGGAAATAGCTGTTATTGTAGTATAAGGGATGACAGGGATAGTGGATATGAAAATGGAAATAGCTGGAGCTAGCTTTGTAATTATACAGTGCGAAGTTGGAGGTGGGGATATGAGAAAGGATCATATTGGTTTTTGGTGTCAGAGTTTGTAAATTGCAGCGTATATCGTTTATTTGAACTCTTTATGCTGTGTAAAACATGCTTTTGTTAATGCTGGCAGGCTTTAAGATTGATCAAGTATGTGGTTGGGAAGTCTGGTGTGGAGTTCAGAAGGGAAATGCAGAGACATTCAGTGGCAGTTCGTCAGTTGTTTCACTACAAGGGACAGTTGGATCCTTTGAAAGGTGATGCACTAAATAAGGCTGTGAGAGACACTGCTCATGAGGCTATCGCTGCCATCTTTTCAGAAGACAATAGCAAGCCGGCACCTGCTGAAGATCTAAACCGGCGGATACAAGGGTTTGGGAATAAAAACTACGAACCGCCGCAGGAAGACAAGAAATCTTTTATCAGTGAGGTTGTTGGTATTGGAAGCGCATCAATTAAGCAAGGGCTTAATAGCTTAACACAGGGACATTCGCTGATGAAAAATGATCCTGGCAGCTATAAGAGTCCAAATCTTCGAAGATCATTGACCGATGAAACAGACCATGGTGACCGATATGAACCAGTTGCATATCATAATGAAGCTCAGAGTAGTTTTGGAGTTTCAAAGAATCAATCCACTGGTCCTTGGAATCAGGATTCAAGAGTAACTAAGACAGACACGTTAAATGGGGAATCTGGTGCAAGTTATGCAGAGAGGAAGACAAGAGAAGATAAGTTGCTGGAGACAATTGTAACATCAGGTGGTGTTCGTCTGCAACCCACTCGAGATGCAATTCAAGCTTTCCTAGCAGAGGCTGCAAAGTTGGATGCACTGGCTTTATGTCATGCCCTTGAACTGAAGCTCCAATCTCCAATTTGGCAGGCATGTCTGTCATTTTGCAGATGATTGATTTTCCAAGTATTTTGACTTTATATTTTTTTAAATATGTGAGAATAATATTTACAGGTTCGCATGAAAGCTGTTTGTGTCCTTGAGTCCATTCTTAGAAAGAAGGATGATGATCATTTTTCACTGGTGGAATCTTACTTCACCGAAAATAAAGAAGTGGTGCTGAGATGTTCTGAATCTCCCCAAGTCTCTTTAAGGGAAAGGGCTGCGAAGGTACGCTCGCTATCTACCTAAATGAATAGTTATTACGTGCAAATTCCATCTCAATCATTTTTACATTTCACGCTTATTTCAATCTAATTTTATGTGTGATTAAGTTACCTCAAGTTTCAGTAATGAAAAAACTAGTAATAGATCACTAGTTTGTACTGAATTATTAATCTAAAAATATTCAATAGTTGACAGACTAAAGGCAGCTGTGCATTATTGTCCCTAAGGTAAAGGTGGTACTTTGGATAATATCATCAAAGGTTTCTAAGCTAATGTATAAGTGAATTTGGTAACATGCCTTTAGTGAATATGTGGATTTGGAGAGCACTAACCACTCAGGTTTCAACATTGGTTCTAATGGTTTAGCAATGTAGATTGGAGAAAATGTATTAACAGGATATGGATGGGCTTTTCATGTGAAACTTTTTGGACTGAGTTGGTTGGATGCCGATTATTATAATGGAATCTGAATTGTAAACAGCTTTGATAATTAATATTTTGTTGTTAGCTTTGGAAATATGGATACCAGTAAGGAATTCCTTGTGAGCTCAAACCCTTGTAAATGTGCTGTTTGTTTTTTGTTCTTTGTCAATTGTACAGGAAATGAATTATGATATACCAAATGTTTAAAGTGTCGTTTATAAATTTTTAAAATATTTTAATGGTAATAGCTTAGACCTAGTGGGATAAGGCTATGTTGTTGTAGATGTTGTAATAGTTTTAGACCACTTAGCACTGAGTTGATGTGAGCTAATAAGTTTAAGAGTAACCCTTGTAATTTAATTCAGAACTTGGCTTCATGTTGGACAGGTTCTTGGTCTTTTAGGTGGAAGCCAGCCAAACAGCTTTGCAATTAATTCAGAGAATGCTGTGAAAACAGAGAATCCTGCTGTTGAAGAGCTGCCTAACTTGATAGACACGGGTGATTCAAATGACTATCATGGAACTGAGGACATTCTAAAGAGTACAACAGATCAAAACATATCAATTTTGACATCCACTCCTCTGGTTGATGATTTATTTGGAGATTTTAGCGGCTCTGTTGGAGCTAGTCAAGAACTAAAAAATGATGATGATCCATTTGCTGATGTTTCATTTCACACAAGTGAGAATAAAGAACATGCTGATGATCTCTTTTCTGGGATGACTGTTGGTAGTGAGAAACAGAGCGATCATAAGATTCACAGGCAGGGTAATACAAGTGATCCTCAACTTTTTGACATTTTTGCTTCCAATTCTGAACAAGGAAACAATAAGGAGCTTGTCAGTGATTTAATGGCTGGTCTATCAATGGATGAAAATACCTCAAGTACAAAGCAGAAGGGAACATCTCCTTCCATGCAACCTGAGTCTTTATTTGCAGGCTTAACTGACCATATCCCTGGCAATACTTCAGATGGCATGTTGAGCTCTCAGCCAATGGGGTTGAACGTAAATCCCATGTTTCCTACTGGTGCTCTGCCTTTTAATATACCGCCTGGTTTCATGTTGAACCAACCTTATCCGTCCCAGCCTCTTAATTACGGTGCCATTAATTACGGTGCCATGGGAACTCTTTTTGCTCAGCAGCAATTCTTAGCAACAATGGCTAATTTCCAGCACCTTAATAATGCCAATGATGGTGTTGCTCAAATGGCTGGACCCAATGGAAGATCACCTTTTCCAGACATATTTCAACCAAATTTTCAAACGCAAACTCCTAGCTCAATGATCAACACTACAAGGAAAGAAGAAACTAAAGCGTTTGACTTTATCTCTGTAAGTTTGGTGTAAATACTTTACAAGTAACCTTCCATTGGTTTAATTTTTGTTAAGGATCTGGTTTGAATTTATGCTTTGGGAAATACAGATTCGTTAGTATTCAATTTAGCTTCTTGAATGGATTAAGTCATTTAAAACTTGATTTATCTTCAAAAACAAGTCACTTGGTATTTTACAGGCGATTCATGAAAACATAGGTTTGAAACAAGAAATTAATGACAAAAAACCTGGAAACCAAAAGCCTGCATGAATAATTTACCTTGATAGATCATGGTGTCTTTTACCGGTTTACTTTTTCATTGATGAATGAGGTATATACCTGTTTAAGTTAAAATATGATATGATAAAATTAGTTTAACAAACTGGATTACAATAATTTCACAAGCCACAGTCCCCGACCCTCTCTGTCCCCATGGGACGAGTAATTTTCAATATTAAATGTATTAATTTTAAAGACAAAAGTATGCTAGATGATATCCTTTGTTTAGCTTTTGGTGGATTAACATGACCACATTGTTTCATGCTTGTAGGACCATATGACCTCTGCTCGTGATTCAAGGAGAATGATTTGAGCTTTAGATCTTGTGTTGTTGTGGAGGATATTTACGGTGTGGAATTGCTGGATTGACTTTAATAGATCAAAACAGTTTATAGTTTCGTTACCTGTGCAAAAAGTTACTTTTCTCTTGCAATGGTGGAGTGGGGCATTATAAATGAAATTCTGCACGTCCATGTTGACTACAAAATAATAAAATGAGAAATACATTTTGGACATGAAGAGAATCAAAATGGTTATCGATTTGAATTAGACTTTAGCATAAGAATGTTGTGTAGCACTGTAATGTTTTATTTTTCGTGAGTATGTTGTGTATGTAGTTAATGGTCGAGATATTGCAACTGTAATTCAGGCGTCAAGTAAAATACGACTCTTATATTTTTCAAATGTCCATTCATATTTATTGGTGGCTTTGCTGTAGCTGCACGATTGTCAGTTTATGCGGATGGGAATCAAGAAGAGCAATCCAGTGGAGTTATAATTATATATATCATAGCTGCTGCTATATTAATTAATATTCATATAGCTTCCAACATAATATTGACTGGGGAAAACGAAATAATCATATTTAATTACAAAGGAGAATTCCTATTTATATTCTATGTATTTAATTTAAAATCAATTTTGATGTGAGTTTCAGTGATGAGGGTGGCGCTGGTAGGGATGTATAACGACTGAATCAATTTAATCGATATGAATAAATAGGCATTTGTATTTTATTTAACATGCTTTGGGGTAATCAGAGTATCGTAATGAAGCACATCCATTTTAATGTTTAAAACTGTGATCATCTATTTATTACAGAATCATCAGATAGATAAATGTGTAGTTTGTTTTTTTCACTACAATCATGACATTCTTACCTCATCGCAGCAATAAATGTCTGGATAACTGTGACACTCCTTCCAAAAGTACTCGCAGAATAAAGATACAAAAAGTATTCTCCAAAAGTGTGCTCAGCACCAGAAAATGTAACCGAGAGTCGGTCATGTCCAAGGTTGACCTTCAAGATCAGACTGAGCCAAATGTAACTAACTGATCACCCATCTCTAGTGTGCTTTATTTGCTTTACAACATCCAAACGCTCTGAAGAATAAGATGAAGGGATCTGCATACAGTAGCAGGCTTCATGAGTAAGATCGAAGATAAATGAAAATCATGATAGACAAGGCAGGAAAAAGTTACCAAGAATGGCATATACTTCTTGATAGCTGCTAGAATAGCTGCGTGGCCAACAGCCGTTACCTGGAAACAGAATGAAAATCAATGTTACATTGAAATACTTCCAGCATGTTTCTTCTCTATGTATTCTTAGTTAACTGTTTTATGATTGCACATGAATGAGAAAGGAAATTTGTCTAGTATATGTTTCTCCCCCGTAATTTTTTTCTCAAATGAAGTGCTCATCATTTAAGAAAATGCTAGAGAGTAGAGATATTAGAAAAAGAAAAAAAAAAAAAAAAGGTTATGCACTAACCTTGAAAACATTTTTATACTGTCATCCAATCATAAAACAAACATAAACTATTATATATAGTAAGTTCGTTAACTTTTGCCATAACTATTTTAAAAGTTAGTGACTTTAATTGGTTGACAGTGTAAAAGTATTTTACACTGACAATACATATCTATTAATACAAGGTATGTTAGAGAAGACATTATACATCTTATTAATGGGTAGTTTACTATGGCCTTAAAAGTGAGACCAATGTGTATTTTACCATGGGAAACCTACAAAACTTCTTATGAAGCTGATAAACTAGCAGTTGATTTATATCCACGTAAGAGGAAACAGAAAGGTAACCAAGTCACAAGGATCTGAAAGGGTAAAGGTGCTCACAGGAAGTAGCATCAAGATTGTCACTGGAATTAGCACAATTATGTCAGTTATGGTTCTGTTTAGCCTTTTTCTTTGACTCCCAGAAGCCTTGTAGCCATGCACTTGCCTTACAAGTAGCTCTAAAGCAACTGCAATGTCTATGAAGAGCAATACAGTACCCATCCAGAGGTCCTAGTAAAATATTCCACAGATTAAAAACGTATAGTCATGACAACTTACTCATTTACCAGAAACACAACGATTAAAACTCTTACTGAACTTGTCGATGCCAATTTGGTGCTGTATCTCTTGATAAAACTTTCTCGCTGAGGACTTGACTTGTCAATACGAGAATCTTTCTCATATGTTTTCTTGCTTGTGATAGCAGAAATTGGACCCTGTGGTTAAAACAATAAGAAGCACTGGCTACTAAGAGGAAGATACATGTTTAACGAACTGATGTTCCACAAAGTTGACACTTGACAACACTAGTTAAGAGATGTATGTTATTGATTTCCTGTGGTTTGTTTGTGCCAACATATTTGGTGCAGAATAGGAAATCCTCCTAGCATGCATCCATGCCATGCATAAAGAATGTGTAGTAATGGTGCTCACAATCACTTTCTAGTTTTACACTCAAACTATATTTTGTCCTGCTAATTTGCATGATTAACATTTAATGCAAATAAAAGAAAATGTCATAACTAATTGTTACTTTACAAACAGAAAATATCTAACAAAATATTAGTTATCAATAAAATCATGCAATGTGTCATCTCAACACTCATTAGTTATGCCTTTACCATATTATTGCAATGTCATTATTTAGAACATATTAATTCATTAACTTAGTTGTGGCAACCACAACTAATTTATATTTCACCAATAAAAAGTTCACTAATGATTGTTTATCTTTGTAGATATCTACCGAGTACTTTGATCACTAGCTGATTTCTGTTTTACAAAGCCTTCAGTCTCAGTTATGAAGCTATTCAATAGATTCCGTAGAACTAAACTAGTAAGCATATCCAAAGGAGGTTAATGCTGGGGGAAAATGTCCAGAGAGGTACAGCAGAACGACACACCCAAACACTTTGTACATCTAGTAAACCAAACATAGCACAAAATTACAAAGAAAAAGAAATAGATAGCGATGAGAGGACAAGAATGAAACTAAATTCAGAAAATAACAAGCATATGTCCACCCAAGAGGAAAAATATTTTCTCTTCAAAATCGAAACACCTGTCTGTCTTTTGTTTTGTCTCTATCTATGCACCCTGGTTTCTAATCCAAAATTATTTGAGGATAAGTTACAACTACCAAGGATACGAGGTTAAAATAAACATCAACAAAACTGATCTTTATCCTTCCCAAAATAGGTAAGGTAAACTCGTGACACCCAAAAGAAAGAAAAAAAAAATCAAATCAAAACCTAGTAGGAGGATTAAAAAAAAGGCTAGATAAATTTGAGTATAGAACTCCCATAAGGAATCAACTTACTTCCTAATTTGTTTAGATAATGAATTTCCTTAACTTGTTGACTATCTTCCTGGTATAACAAATCACGTTTCCCACCATACCTTTTTAAATGTACAACTGTTTCGAAAATTACTCTTTGGACATCCTTCTGTAGTTAAATCATGTGACATCTGCTCCAATTCAAACACCAGAGGTAACTTGGGTCCATTTATACTTCCCATATATGATGTATGGTTGTCAATTCCAGCATGATCCACAGTATTTAGTGTTTCACTGCAAATAGGCACCAAATAATGATCCACAGCATTTAATGAGTAAAAGCATCCATCAAACCAGAACCAACCTACCCTGATTTGTCATAAGCAGCCCAGTGATATTGCAGACAAATACTTAACAAACCCTGACTAGGATGTTAAAAAGGGAATGAAAAACATACTAGGTTAATAGTTACTATTGGTAGACAAAGAAACTTAAACTAGTAAAACCGATATATAAATTAAATATTACCAACGAAGCAAGTATGAACGTGAAGCTGTGTCCAATGGTTGTTGAGTTGAGCGGTTGAAGTGTGCAAACCCAGAGAAAACATCATAGCACACAGTAAAAACCACAGAAGAAATTATCTCTTTCTCTGCCTGGCGAGCATTATGTTTAGACCTCTTCTCCTTGCAGTTTATTTGAACATATGAAGTATAAAAATCAAGCCATCCTATCTCATCAGTTACCACCTGAAAGACAGTAAAGATTACAAACAGTGACTTTCAATCTCAACATACAAAAGGTATTTAACATCAGCCTTGGCTGAATTAATAGAAAGTAACCTCCATGAAACACTGATATACTCGGATGGAGGAAAATTCCGGATAAATGAAAATAATGCCGCATTCCAAGTAACTAAAATCAAAGCATTGAATCTTCAGTATCATTATCTTGAAAATTGAAATGATTAAAAATGTAACATACAAGCAAAGAGATCAACCTGAGGAAGTCCTTAACTATTGCATCAAGATCCTTAATGCCCATTGCTGACAAAAATATTCTAGTCTTCCTTCCAAGATATGTAAAAAGTCCCAATGTGGCTAAACTATCTGCATGTATCTGTAAAAGGAACAGCATAAACAACTGTCTGAGTAGAGAATTATAAATAACAATGCACTTATAAAATAATGAGATTAACAAGAATAAATTTGATCCAAAGATGTCAACTGTGCATCAACAGGACTAAATTTGATCCAAGTATGTGTGCCTATAAGTATCTGCTGTTCAGTTTGAATGAAGCAAATTATTCTTAAATAAATACTATACTTAGATTAAGTCCTATAAATCCATCAAATTTCTGCATGAGTCTGCAAGTTGACCTTTTGCTGAAAATTTTGCTTCTTGAAAGTGATGCTTTCTTCACTGAAGGCTTTTAATAGTTTCTTATGGGCCAAACCAATCCAAAACTCTAGGTCCTCAGTTTTCTCACTGGGAAAAATCTTCCCACCAAAATGGTACAAGAAATTCTGTTCAAATCCTGCCTCAGTTGCTAACTGGTGTAACTTGTCCATAGACGCAAGATTGAGTGAAAAATCCATAAGCTTGACCAAAACATCTTCAAGAGACAATACAAGTAAGGAACAGCAAATGCGGCTAGAGCCCAATTTCACCACTGCACTGCAACAGGTTATGGCCACAATAATTCCTGCAATACCGCTGAATACTTTTCTGTCAGGCTAAATTTCTTCTGCGGAATATTTGGCGAATCTAATAGAAATGAACGTAAAATCATCAACTTGAAGAATAACTTTAAAAGTCAAGCCAATGCAAGGACATTTGTTGAATAAGAAAAAGGATTTCCATCCAAGGTTCAAATATTTGTTTTGAAAACAAGGTTGTTTCAAGCAAACCTTCCAGCATATTCCATGGACCACTTCTTTAGAAGTGGAATAAAATATCCTGCTATTCGTGGCATTTCAATGTCTCTAAACCACTGCACCAAATATGGATGCTTCATTTCCAGTCGAATTTCAATGCCCTCTCCCATTCGATTCATTAATGGGCTCAAACTGAAACCAGGGAGGAGAAGTAACTCAGATCCCAGCAATGCAAATCAGTTGTATTACTATTAATAGTTTAACGTTAAAGGAAAAAGCAGAAATAGTAATAGGATGCATAACTATTCTTCCCATCAAAGGTTTGATATAATTCAACTGGTTACATCTCTTATTGTATATTTACACCAATACTGCTATTTACAAGAAAAGCTTAGGCAGTAAAAGCTTACATCTCTTTAACTGGGGAAAATTCATTTAGCCGTTCATGTGAAAGCAATATCTCCAAATCAATTGCTGCTTTCATTAAAGCATAAACTGCAACCTGCATCCCCATGTCAACCCTTATATTTTCATTATTAAATCCAATCAACTTTTCATGGCGATTTTTCAGGGAAGGAATAATTATATGCACCGTTTCATTAACAGGCTTACATCATAAATTCCCAAAATAATAATAATAATGTGTAGGAGACAACTGCATATTTCTTCACTATAGAACATTTTGTGGCATATACCTGATAAGCAATACGTCTATGCCATTCATGCACATCCTTCCCAATCCAAGCCATTGCAAGAGCTGGACCACTCCTAGATAGACCAAGCAAGTTGATTGCTTGGGAAAAGCTCCTAGAAGATTCATGCAATAACCACAGAACACAATGCACCCTATTATGTTCTATTCCCTTACTACTGGATGCAACATTGGTAACCTCATCTGCTTCTTTGCTTTGATCATCGGTACCGGAAAAGCAAGCCTTAGCTGGTGCTGCCAATGACGAGCACTTCTTGAAGAATGTGTAACATGTAGACAGAGATTCAACTAACATGCCACTATTCAAAGAACTATTGTTTCTCTCATCTAATACATTTGAATTTGCATGTTTACGGGCATAAGCCGTTGTTCTTTTTCGGACATCTGACCCCATGGATCTGCTTTAGGAAGAAACAGGAAAAGCATAAACTTCTGGGGATATGCAATGTCTAAAATGCATAACGAAATATACACATCAGAGATTAAAAAAAAAAGTTAATTGGAACTACTGAACTAGTGACTAATAGTATATAGTAAGCTACTACTTAAGTTCATACACAACGGACACAAGCGACAATATACTTTTTATGTATAATGAATGCATTTTTTTGTTCCAAATTGTTATACGATAATATAACTCACAAACTTGGTGATTGCCTTGTCAACAACATTATTACAAGGATATCAGCAACAGAAGCTCAGAAGATAAAATTTTAACTTCGTAGAAAAGGCTACCTTCCAACAACTTAGTCTTCTTTTTTTGTGTGTGTGTGCGTGATTTTTAATTGATTTTGATCCAATGGATGATTAGCTTATCAAATTCATTACGGGGCACAAAAGGGGTAGCGGAAATAGAAATTCATCCTCAGAACACCGAAAAATTAGTCATTATCTAGTGTATGATCTACACAAATTGTAAATTGTATATGCATGAAAACCAATTTCAACTTTCAAAAGCAAAATCTTCACAATGGATACGTACTGAGTTTAATATATATTTCAAATTATTTATTCTTTTACAGGCACAAGTGGTCATTTTGATGCGTTTGTAGCAGTTGTTAGAGTAACGACAGGAAGAAGAAGAAGAAGAGGAGGAGGAGAAAGGAAGAGGAAGCTTACGTGTAGTTGAAAAGTTGATGTTGCAGATTGAAGTGAGTAGCCATGGATAGATGAAAAGTAAAAGACGATAAAGAGGAAAAGATTAGGCATTATAAGGTTGGAAGATATAAATAATGGCCCAATGTAAGAGCGGTGGCATCGAGGCACAGAAAGAGAGACACTAATTTATAATTAATTCATCAACTCCAACACTTCATTGCCCTTAGGATTTGGCTCCTATCACCTGCTTAGTTTGTGAACAAGACAACCTTAAAACCAAAAGGCAAAGCACTTGTACGTATGATGTCCCAACTCTAACACTTGAACTCAATGGTACTTTATTTATACAAAGTAAAAGTCAACACCAAACATTGCTCTGACTGGATGAGTCTTGAGTCTCTGTTGTTGGGGAGTTAGAGTTAGGTGGATGCATGGTCGCAGTTCATCTTTACATGCAAATTTGGCTCTATTTTCATAACCACTTACGCTATCTTTGAAGTTGCGTTTGAATGCCTCAAATGCACGTAATTCAAACTGAACAAACATGATTTAGTTAGAACTGAATTACTTTAACTTTTAGATAAAATTATTTTCTGTAAAAAAAAAAATTCTGGAACCATATCCAATACATGTAAGACAGATAATGTAACCCTACTAATGTCAAATAGTCAAAAAATTGTATATAAAACACTAAATATTATATTGAATAATCATTTTTTAAATTTTAAGTAGGAGCAGAAGGTGGCATTGAATCGTTTTCTTCTTTTCATACAAGGATAGTGAGCAACCATTGTACTTAAACTACAAATATATGAACCATGGAAGATTTTATTCAAAAACACATTTTAATATCATTCTTCTCGGTGCAGAACAAGTTATATACTGACAAAATTATACTGAACTTAAAATTTCGAAATATTTCCCCACTTTTGTACATTAGATCGGGAATTGATTCGAATCGTTAAAAATACCAATTTATGGTTCACGGCTCCTCCTATGATGAATCTAAAGGCTAAATCAAACTGAGAAAGAAAGACTTGAATATTATATAGCATATAACTTAACATAGAACCGTATCAAGTTGAATACAGCAAAATATTTACTTGAAAAAATAATATTACATATCTCGCTGATAAAGATTAACATCAAGATCCTAAAGAATAATAAATTCTATTTATTGTTTAACATCAAGTCTATTTTTATTAAAAAATGTTTTTGATTTGATAAAAAAGATTAAAAATTTGTTTCTGACCATTTCAAGGACTGGCTCAACCACCTAATCAATGATCATTCGGTATTTTGGTCGAATGAACCAAACACAGCACCTAACTAGTTCACCAATTTTTCCATTGAATTGAAGGAACAAAATCAAAGTTCATATAATTGTAACCACGCGTCTCGCAGGGAATGGACAAACTGTCCATCATCCTCTGTTCACTGACATTTTTTGTTCCCGGAGCATGGTTAGACATTACTTGTCAAATGAATTGAAATACAACGGCAAAAATGACATTACCAAAACTCAACCTCAAAATCAATATACATTCTTAATTATTCGGGTTCTTTGGTCTTGATTATCAAACCCTGTCAGTAATTTTCCCTCCAGGAGTTTCTACATTACTTTCCTTAAAACCAAGTTCAGCCAAGTCTTGCTTTGCCATCAAGTTCCTGTAAGAAGCCAATTATAGTTCATGGCAATTAGTTAAAACAAAAATTGTAGTCAAAACAAACCTATGAACCATATATACCAAAAGCAATATCTACATCATAATATACCAATAGATTACAATGAAAAAAGGAAAACAGATCAAAGACATTCACTAAAACCACTAACTTCTTTACTTCATATTTCATCATGAGAATTATTTTAGATTATGAGATGATTTCATTCCCAAATTGGTACAAATTAAAATAAAATGGCATTCAAATTGTGACTACCATCTTGTCAATCTCCTACGGTGTCATAAAAACAATATACATTTATACATAAATTAATGACAAAACTACTGCCTGAGCAAAAAGATAAAAACGGATGAGAGAGGAATTACAGGAGGTAATCCTAAATATAGTGACTCTATCTCTTAAAATGGTATTGCTGTCTCCCGTCTCCTGTAATTTGTTCTCTATTTTGGTTATTCAAAGAGGCATTTTGTTCGTAAAATTAGGTAATTGGTAGTAGAATGGTTGTATGTGCAGTTTCTTTTGTTTTTAGTTCCACACTCTAGGTAACAATTAGTTTTACTGAACAATGCTCACACTTTTCCTCACCAAAACAGCATTCATCACTCAAACAGAACACTCTCAAAAAATTTAAAAAGACAACTTCAAATCCACTACAGATATTAATGCTTTTATAAAGCTGCTATCTATCAAGTCAAACTACAACACAGCTCAAAACGGTAGCCTAGCCTACTTAATTAACACCAAAGACTAATATGTGCAGTAAAAACTGATGTGTAATGCATTGAAAGCAACCCACTTCTCCATGCGACACTGCAGGTATTTTTTTGAGAATTGCCTGCATTTTTCAGACTCGTGTCTGGCAGTCTTCAAACAGTTGAGATATTCCACTTTCTCCTGCAATGAGGCCAATACAAGAATGATCAAAATGAACATAAGAAACCCAGAATGAATAAACAAGTGAAAAGGACACGAAACATTCAAATAAATGTTAAAGTCAAGAAGCATACATACTAGGTCACACAGATGCATATGGTCCAATGGGAATATTCCCTTCTCGGGAGGCACTGGACGGAGCCCCCTATTGCCACCAAATGCGCCACCTATATTACACAAAAGAGTCAAAGCGATTATTACTAATCAGAAACCAATTTAGAATAGAGCATAGCGAAGAAATCAGCATGTCCACAACATGGGAATAACAAATGGTATTGTTTTGGAAACAATAGAGGAAGTATAGAGTTCTCAAACAACCGTAGAGTCTCTATTCCGTCCTTTGAACATTTTCACTGCAATAATTTGTAAGCGATTCATTTATCAAACAGAGGACGGAAAGTGAAAGAGATATAAATACCTGCGGCACTCATTTCTAGGGTTTCAAGCAGAAGCGTGGTTGCGGAATCTCAGAAAACAGTTTCAATTTCAAGTCGATTAAAGTAAAAATTACGCTGCAAGTTCGGGTCCATTATCAATCTGAGCAATCGTATTTCGAAACCCACAAACTCTCAAAGATTTTTTTTTTTAATATTATATTAATATGTAGAGTTGTTGGATGAGTATATTTGAAGGAGAGATTCTCAATACATCATTTTTCTATCAACATTAATAATATTTTGATAACAATTTTAAAAAATAATTAATATATAATTCATTATATTAATATAATAATAAATTCTATTATTATCTTAATACAATAAGTTTGTTATTGGTTGTTTTTTAAGTCGATTGTCAATATATAATTGATAAGAGCAATTTTTTCTAATAAATATTCCTTCGGATTAAACTATTTACTTTTTCAATTCTAATTATATAATACTTTTTAAATGAATAAAAAATATTAGAAGTGATTTCTAAATTCCCACCCGCTCAAATTTAAATCTGGTTGATCTAAATGAATTTTTGTTAGACAAATTCTAACGGCAACAGTTACATGTCACATAATCTTATCATGTGTCACGTATAAACATAATTTTGTCAACCTTCTAGAAAGTATTTGTCAACAACCTTTTTTTTTTAAGCTAAATACACAGGAAATTGATCATTTACCATTGATTTTACACAATTATTATAATTTCTTGTCCATACCATTTTTTTTCTTCTTCAAAAGTTGCTGTTAATACATTTGCTCAGCAAGATTAAGCATTCATATTGTTTTAAAATACCAACTTAGTCGGGGGCACCTTGAATGTAGTTAATGTAATTAAATGAAAAGGAGATAAAGCCAAGTTGATCTTGGCTACAAGTCCTTCCCCCAAAATTGAGAAAAAGTAGGCAAATTAGTTCACCAACTTTCCATGTCAATTGAGCTTTTTAGTGTCATAGACCCTTTGGCACGACAGTTCTTGAAAATGAATAAAACAAAAAATAAGATCAAGAGGAATATACACAATTACCACTACATTGATCATGTATTGATACATATATGCAGCTGCCTCTAGCCTCTAACCTCCTTCCTCTAACCTAAAAACTCATGGATTTACGCTTAACTCATGATTTCTAAGTCAAAAATAAATAAATTAGGGGATAATAATATATATCGTGGTCATGCCATCTGCATGGAAAAAGGCATAAGCATGTAAAAGAATCTATAATTAATTATTTAGCAGTAGTGGTTATATCTTGACATGGAGATGAAACTGTATTGAGGGTGCTATGCGAAATGGTATCGAGCTTTCTTAGCCTCTGTGCTCGAGGATGCTGAATGATTACCAAAACTTCATCTTTAGAGTTTTCAACCCGAGAAGCAGAAGTTGGCTACACACAAAGAAAATGAACTATGAGTGTTATTTGATCCTCACAAGCAGTGCATGTGTAATAAATAATAAAGGAATATATGTTAAGAATTTCGCATAGGCCACCGAAAGCTTATACGAATTTGTGGGATGATAATGCAACGTGTACAATACTAAATTAGTCAACTATTTAATTAATGAACATGAAAACAGGTTTGCTATACTTACCACTCCAATGTGCCATTCGTGGCTACTAAATTCTTTAAATGTTGCTGCATCCATTTCCTGCACCAAGGTTTTAGTGTGGTCATCAAACAGAATAATATTCTCTAAACTACATCAAGGCTAGATTGTTTCTTTAATAATATGATTTGCATATGCAAATGAACTTTAGCTATATTTTTGCATAAGGGAAAATTCGACTATTATCCTTTGTTTAGCTGTTAGGAAGAAGAGAAAATTAAAATAGGATATTTGGCAGGATATAAAGAAAAGAGCCATGATTTTAAACAATGTATAAACATTTAGTTTTATTTCATACATCTAACTTACAAGTTTATTTAATAATATAACAATCATAATATTATCAAGTTTTTTTTTATCCACATTTTTTATAATTAATTTATATTAAAATATTATTTTAATTTTTTTTCTTTTCATTTCATTTTTTAATTTTCTTTTATTTTCCCATATTTTTACCATTTTTAAAATATATAAAATTATAATTACTAATTTTTCTTTAAATTATACTACTTTAATTTTTTCTCTAATGAGATTTTATAAAATCAATTTCCTTTATAAATGGTTATAAATAAATAATGAATTGTTAAATAATATTAGATTTAAAAGGAGGTTAAAATATATTTTTTCTTAAAAAAAATCAGGGAACTTACATTATTGTTTTTCCATGCACTTACATTTATTTGTTTCTCTTCTATTTTTATTCTACCTATTTTAAGAAACTTCTAACCAAATTTTAAATGTCCTTATTTTTCTCTCATGTTTCATCCTATTAAACATAGAGTCATATACTAAATTTATTAAAACATTTTTACAATATCTATTAATTTAAATATTTTATATTAAAAAAAATATTAATATCTCGACAGTAAAAATTGAAATCTACCTATATATATATATATAAAAAATATTCTATATCACATCATATATCCGCCCAAATTTGATATCAATTACTAAATATCCTAGGACATGAAATCTGTCACTAAATGGTATCATTTATATATTGGGAATTGGATCCTTGTTGTCCAAAAGTTAAGGCCGTATAGAATAAAAGGTAGGAGGTTCAATTCTGAAGAGTGGCTAGACTAAAAGATTTACAACTAATTTCTTACTATTATACTTGACTGTTTAGTATTCTTATATACTGTAAAAAGGAAAATAATGAATGTTCCAAGGGCACGTGACAACTAAAATAATACGTGACTACTTGTGAACTAGAATCTTCATCTACTTGTGAAGAAGAATAACTTACAATACTGTAGATGGGAGGAACAAGAGTATTGCTTTTACACTTAGTAACAGGCACAACAGAGAAGTTTGGTGCCAAATCTTGTGACCTGAAAATCCATCTGTATATAAAGGAATAGATTAATAGCTAAAAAGGATAGAAAAATTATCATATACTTGGAGTAAAATCATACTGCGCGGTTTGTGGGTAAATTTTATAATGTTCAAGAATTCGAGTGTTTTTGTACTGGAAAACAGATATGCATACCCAATATACACAAAGATGCAGAATTGTGCCCATTCCCTGAGCAATAAACGAAGCCAGTAATTTTCTGAAGAGTCGTCCATGTTCATATATATCTAAAATTAATGAGATTGTCAAAGTTAGATGTTTATATATATCACTTTGTAAGTTTATAAAGAGAAACCCAAGCATGATACCACAGTTTCTGCTGTAGCTACTATCTGCATTGCACCCTGAAATTTCCTGCACGAATAAAGTATGTCAGGCATGGGTGAGATATATCTATGAAAATGGGAGGAAATTACGAATGTACACTTCTCAGATGTGTACACTTACTTGAACATTGTGTACTTCTTATACACGGCATCATACATGAGTTGAATATCCTCATTTTCTATAATGCTCAATTGTTCTCTCAACACCAGTAGGTTTTGGGATATATGGTGGAATATTATATAGAATGAAACAAAGTAATTTAATATCAGAAGAGCCTGCACATTTGGTTAAATTATGAATTAGCATCATAGAATCATGCATGATTACTATAAATCACAAATATAACTGTTTACCTAATTAAACTCCATTATAAGACCAGGTATGGAACTTACAGAGAAGTATGGCACGCAAGCCTTGTAACCAATCAGGGTTAAGTAAAAGATACATGCAAGTGCGGCGGTTGAACGACGTTCATTTAGAGAAAGACGCTCACACATGATGCAGTAACCATGAGAAATGAGCAAAAAGGAGACAAAAGCAGCTGTCTGAAATAGCACCCCTGTTACATACACCCCAAATGACATCCACAAAGAACAGGCCTGAAAATTGTAGCAAGAATACCTGCAAGAATACTGTCATGAGACCCAATGAAGTAAATTTTGCACACAAAAAATCCAACCGTACAAATTCACACTTCTATAATGTGCTGTCCAAGAAACTTCAAATCCTGCCATGCTTTGTCCAGTGTCACGTTAAATGAATGTAGAATGTCACTGTGGTTGATTACATGTCATAAAGGCAAAAAATCAGGTCAAAATGGTCAATAGCGGAACCTACCGTCTTCCCTTCTCCGTTGTTGCATAAACTATGTCCCAAAGACGTTATATCTTTTATACACTTGAGATTGCTAGACAGAGGACCTCGTAAACTACTATTTTGAAATTGAACTGCTTTATGATTTATGTAATTATTCTTCATTACAATCGAGATACTCCATTAAAAACGACAATCCGCAAATAACATTTCAAAAATGGGGTTAGTTTGAGCTGTGTCCCCTACCTGCCCATCATAAACTTTGTACAGGACCAACCCGTGACGATTTTATGCAAAAAATAATATGTAGCGCATTCGGATAATTTTCAACTGAAATACAGAGTTGTTCTTGAGCATGAGGATAATTTTCAACTGAAGTACAGAGTTGCTCTTGAGCATGGGAAGGCTTGCACGACTTGTATCTAATGTATCTAAATTTATAACAATTATTTGGCTTTTTCCATCTTTACTTACAAATACTCTATCATTATAGAGTCATTCTTAGAACAAATAAGGTCGTATAATTCCGCGACCTTGTCTAGAGACAAGTGTTCCGCAAAGCACGTACTCTTCCATACAATCTGATCTGTTGGAAATTAACTTATTAATAACTCAAATGTAAATCAAATAGGCGGGTGAAAAAGTAGAGTGATGAATATCTAAGAGGAAAGACCGATAGAATCCAAGGTATTAAGTTTTGAATATTGATTCAAGGTGGAGTGGTTAATCTTTATGTTTCCAAATTGAAAGTCCCATCAAAATGTTTATGGGGTTACGATTCTAAAATATATGGAAATTTTAATTATAGAATTGAAAATTTGGTATCCCTTCTTTCCACAAATCATACACTTATTTTGCCTCCTCGGTCATGAGCTATGAACTACGGCAAAGACTTTACTATGCTACTCTTGATGTAAAATCAAAATACAAATATATAACACTAGACACCTTAATTAAACAACCAAAAAGCAGAAGATAAAAGTGAAAAACCTACCAGAAGAGGAAGGACAGCATGAGCTGTAATGCTTTAATCAACGGAACCGAAGCCAGTGTCCACTGCAAATTATTCCACTGCTCTAACAATAACAACATCACAAAAACAAAGCAGTTACACAACAAAAAAATCACCACCTTCAAATCATCAATGCTTATTCAAATCTCAACTCAACAATACTACTAAAACAATAAATCATCCCAGACCTTTTAATTAATTAAATTCACATATTGATAAGAAAATAATGTCCCCATTAAATATCACTCAAACGATAATAATCATGTTCGCAGAAATTCATTTCCTCGTTACATATAATCAATATAGCAATAAAAGATCAAACTCGAACAACGACAACGAAACAGAGTCCAAAAGCTAACACACGATAACCAAACATAATTAACGTCAAACCTGAAAATGGCGCGTTCTGTAGGTGTAAATGGTCCAAGAGCAAGCAGAGACAAACCAGATCGACAGGAATGTCAAGTACAGCCACGGCAGCGCGCGATACGACTCGTCCACTCCAATACCGTAACCGTCGCCAGACCTCGCCATTATTTTGCCGGAAAACGAGATACGATTCTCCGCCAGCGACTTCTGTTTCCGTTGTTAACTGTCTTATTCTGTGCCGTCGTCGTCGTTGCGTTGCGTTTCGCTGTGTTGTGCAGTTGTACTTCATCTTACCATGCGCATTTTTATACGCTGGAGCGTTGCACACGTCTCAAACGTGGCCTTTGTGCTTCAAACGAGTCAAAACCGTAATTTAATTATTTTTTCATTAATGCTTATTCAACAAACTTTGTTTAATTTTCTATGCTTCACTAAATTATGTGACGCCACTCATACCATTATATTAAAATTAACCCCAAAATCTCATATTCAAATCTTAGACATTAAAAATTATTTTTTTTCTTATAACATGGGTTTTTTAAGCAATTGATATATATTATGATTATGAATGATTTTCTAGTTGAATGCATGAAGGTGTTTGACAAAAGGACATTGCATTGGAGGAATTGAATTTTGTGTTAAAATGCAAAGTTGATGGGCCAGGTTTTGGGGAGAGAAAGTTGGTGGGTGTAACTATCTTTGGTGCAAAGTGGAGTGATGCGCCAAAACCACTCCGAGTTTTTTTTTTTTGCCATGCCTGTGTCAAGAACATAAATCAAATTATTTTTCTTATTTTGGCCAATTGATTCTAATAAATTGGTTATTAAAAATGGACTTAATATTTGTCATAATTAAGCGCGTTGAAGAACGTGAAGAGCACTTGAAAACATGTGTCTACGACCCTCTTTTCAATGTAGCGAGTGACGTTGGTTCTTTCTGATGCATTTCACCAACTAATTTGCAAGTTTTAAGCAACGGCTTTTGACTTTTAAACAAAATGGATTCGTTATATACTAGTGCAAAATATGGCATACATCGCAATAATTTTATCTAAGATTCTTTTTTGGTTCATGTAGAAAAGAGGTTCTTTAAATAGAATTGGCTTCATATGGTGGTTGAAGGTGGTAATCAGAAGAGAATGAAAACTTTAGGTAAACAAACTCACTAACAAAACTACTTTCCTTCACATCCTACCCAATCAAAATCTGTTGATGTTTCAAAAATATATGACATTTTTTGTCATTTTTTATATCTGAATTTAACGCTTTATTATTATTTTTTCCTCTTAAGAAATGGTCAAAGGACTGAATGTGGTTTTAATATTTTTTATACATAAATTTAATATTTGATAATATTTTTTTACTACTACAAAACTTATTTTTAAAGACTATTTTATTTTTAACGTTTAATGACTAATTTCTTAAGACCCAATAGTTGAAAAAAAGGAAGAGTCATATTAAGCATATTGAAAATGGGCCGCCAAGACCCATTCGAATTGTTAAATCTTGGTTTGTTTATTGCAATTTTGTGTAGCTCTTGTTTTCTGTACCCCATAATTACTTTTTTTCAGCATACCCCAAATCAAATATTTAAAATATTATTCTTATTATTTTGTTTTTTATCCTAAATTCTTCTTTTTTTTTTTTATTTACAATTTTTGTATTTCCATCTTTTGACTATTTGATTTTTTTTTGTTATCACCTCCAATAAAAGTCCTTTGTAACAATTAAAGTTAACTAATCCTTAATATTGTGTATACTTAACATGTTCATGCACCCAAATTTCATAAACAGATTCAAATTGTTTAATATAAAATAGTGTTACGAAAATAAGGTTGAATTACATAAATATATTCCACATTAAGTTCCGAATGTGTTTCTAGAAAAGTCAATCCGAAATACATTGTTGATTGACTATTTTTGGAAAAGTTAATCCGAAAATATATTTTGAACCATTAGATCTTGAATACATTTCTGGACTGACCTTTTTCAAAAATACGTTTTGAAACACTCAATCTAAAATATATTTTTGGATTGATTTTTCCAGAAACGTATTCTAAAATAGGTGATCTAGAATGCATTTTTAAAAATATATTTTAAATTAGGTATTTCGAAATATATTTATGAAAACGTATTTTAGATTAGATATTCTAAAATACATTTTCAAAAAATATTTCAAAAAATGTATTTTGAATATGGTGTTTAGAAATATGTTTATGAAAAAATGAGCCCAAAATGCATTGTGAAGATAAAGTTAAAGATGACTCAATATAAAGATAAAATGAGATTTAATATTATTATGAAAGTACAAAGATAAATTATGAGGATGGAGGAATCAACAACTTTTGTGTCGGGTAGAAACAAAAATGTGGGGCTGTTATTACATACAAGAACAAAAATCTTATTGGGCCGAAACATCATTCTAAACATGTGTTCAAACCCCTTTCAAAAGAAATAACAGTTTATAGATAACCTACAGAGCACTTCATGGCTAACTTCATAATCAAAAAGTATATGAACCAATTAATGCCCCAATTAAGCACGTGTTCCACATTTAATTTCTCTATTTATTGAAGCTGGGATATAACATCAACCAATTTTGATTGATTGATTACGCATTACACATTTTTCATTTATATATATTTGTTATCACATCATTTATTAGATTTTATATTTGTCACTCTTTTTCTATGTATTGATAATAAGACCTTTATTATTTTGAACTTTAATCCTGATATAATTTATGTATTAAAATCATTTAGTTATTATGAATTTAATATAATCTAAAAATATGGAAATAGAAACTAAGATGTACCGTTCTTCCAAATCTAGAATACGTTCTTTATATTTTCAAATATTTACTATGGTATAGTATATTATAGAAGAGAGCATATATTTTATGATCTAAAACATAACAAAATTTTAGAAACGTGGGAAATAAGGGGCGAAGAACTTCTACCTAACTGTTTTGATAATAGATGAAAATGAACCACTGTTACCTACGATGGATTTAAGTGCTATTGTGTGGGTTAAGTGCTATTCGGTAAGTTATTATATTTCACATCCTAAAAATAGGAACCAAAATTAATATTCTCTCACTTATCCATTTATCATATTATTAATCAAAACAAAAAATTAAATATCTAAATCATGGTAATAGATATGTTAAGAATTTTTCTTTTATCAATAAGCATACTGGGTGATTATAGTATAAACAAATTTTGTATTCTTGTGAAGTATTCAATAACATTTATATATTTAATTTAAACTTGCAATTAAATAAGAAATTTAGATATGTTTAATAAATTAATTGTAAAAGTTTTAGTTAAAGAATAGAACTACTTGGTGAAACTACATTATTAAATAGATGTATTAAAAATGAATTTTGCTTATCTCCTTTTTCTATTTTTCTTCTTACTCACATATTTAATTTTTCAGTCCAATGTTATTGAGTCCTGAAATTCCTTTCAAGTAATCCCTTATTTTAGAGTTTTTAAAAATTCTATTGTAACAATAAATCCCTTAAATCATTAAAATAAGTTTTTTGCATTAAGCCCAGGATGATATCAACTAATAATATATCATTTAATCCTATCATACAACATTATTAGATGATTTGATTTAAATATATCCAAGTTCAGTTTTCTAACATAAACCCAAATAAGAAATAAAAGAGATGGTTGATTAAGTTACATTAGCTTTAACCATAAAATCAAATCATTAACACTGAATAGCAAGATTTTATATATATGTAAGTTAAAAGAAGTACATAAGAAGTTAATAAATTACATTCAATCTCAATACAGGATAAACTTAGCTACTCATGATGGGAATAGATACAAACTAGAGTTAGACGCCCAGGGGTAGAACTTGAGTCTTCTTTCTCTCCTTTTCAATCTTTTAAATCATATTCTCCAGTGTCTTTCCCACACAACCACCACTCAAAACTTTCTTATGCTCTTTATATGTTTTCTTTTTTAATGATTTCTCGCTCAAGCTATCATTCCTCGCTCAAGCAAAAAAGAAACTTTAACCCAGTCTCGTTCAAGCTAAAGTCTCTTTGCTTGAGCGATGTTAAACTCGAGAGCCACAAAAAAATGCAACGTTTTTAGCTCAAGCGAGGAATGTCTAGGTTGAGCGACATTTAGCCCGAAAGCGACCAAGAGATGTAGCATGTCTTGCTCAAGCGAGGAATGTCTCGCTTGAGCGACATTGAGCCCGAGAGTCACTAAGAGTTACAACATGTCTCGCTTAAGTGAGGCATGTCTCGCTTGAGCGAAATTCAACCTGAGAACCACCATGAGTTACAGTTTTTCTAACTCAAGTGAGGTATGCCTCATTTGAGCGAGATTTCCCTTACCATGTTACCCTGTTTTGTTGACCAATTAACTTTTTCTATTCTTCTAATTTCTTATCCAGTAGTTGATTGATTTCTTTCTTCTTCTTTTCAATTTCTGTACATAATCCTGCACAAAAAGTATATAAGCAATTTATTCTAAATTGGGAAAATTCCTAACAAAAATTAAGGTCAAATTGTTGTTAAATATTTCTTAAAAACTCATATCATAAGTAAATTTTGACACTTAACAACTTCTCCCAACCTAGAATCTTGCTTATCCTCAAGTAAAATAGTGTATTTTTTGTAAAAAAAAAAAAAGAAGAAGGTATGAGTATGTCTAAAGCTATATACAACTAAATGTTATCAAGATGATTTAAAAAAAATTCACTGCAAGTTTTGTATCCAGAACAGTTCATCCATAAAAATAGTTTTCTTGATAATTCCTTTACAAAAAGGTATACCGTTTAAATCTCCAAGTGAAAATAGGATATATGTATGCACTTTAGTCACAGAAACTAATAGGAGGAATAATTCATTAACTTTTCTCGAAGAAACAAATCTCTCAAGCATAAATGGAATGCAACCATCTCTCAAAGGAAAGTGTTTCCCTCATTCAATTACTTCAGTCAAATGGTCCAACATTGATAGTCATCTTCAAACAATCACACCTGTTGAGCAAGACTTAAATCATATGTCTTTAAAGGCTTTGAAAACGAGGCTCAACTTTCAAACAAAAAAATTGGTTTTTCTTGGATAACAAAGTATTTGAGAGATTAAAGACCTTTGAATGATTATTGTCTCATAATTTCCTCAAATTAGAGCCTTTA